GAAACTCATCTATCAGCTTCGTATCGCCACAATGCGCTGCGCCAGCCATTTGTGCGGACCCGGATAAAATTTCATTTATTTTACAGTTTGTTCGTAAAGTTACGCTTATGTTAAACATAAACTACAATGACAGCCGCCCACAGTTTTCAGTCCATCTGCTCACCTGTATAAATATGCCTGCAGCACTCTTTGCTGCCACCAGGCAGCAACTCTAGGACGACAAAGGCTGCTGTACTCCAGGCATCGCACCAGTCAATTTAAGGGTGCTTATTAATCCCCCCCAGTTGTCTATTTAACTGAATAGCTGCTGTATTGTGCCTGCAAATATTTTCCATGTTCTATGTCCAAATTAGGTAAATTTATTATCAGATCAGTTTTCTTTTTATTTTGCCAGATCACATAGTAGCAATCATACCTACAGCAAAAAATGAACAGCCAATGAAGGTGCTCAGTAATGATTGGTGATCTGCAGCAACTGATCCTCATGGGTGATCGTTATCGGCAGCAAAAAACCTGATTGGAGCATCCCTATCCCAGACCGAACTTGAAAATACGATGTTATGCTTCCAACACTTAGCTTTGTCAACAATTCATCGATGGAAATCAGAGCACTGAGCAACACAAATAATGACCAGGCCGGAACACGGTGAGCTACATAATAAAACATAGTTTAACAAAGCTTTGAGGCAGATTCATTTTCCCCGCGGAATTTTGATAATAGAGGTAGTTGAATCATTCAAGGAATCATTACACCCTCGCTAACTTGGCTAGGGCTAATTAGCTAAGTTAGCCCTAAATTATTTCTAAGTTAGCCAGGGCTAACTTAGCTAGTTAAGTTAGCCTTAGCTAGGGCTGTAACGATTCCCTAGTGAGAATGATTGGAATTTCAAACTATGTTTAAACTTGGTCATTGGTGCAACTTCAACCAGACTTGGAGTGGGTTAAAGAATGGTGAAATAAGACCAGTTTCATTTCACAATAATTTATAGAAGTCTCATCATTTAGGTAATATCTATAATTGGATGATTTTAATAATGTAATGCAGGTGCTGATCACAGCTAAGAGGAGATTAAGGGTTTAAGATAATAAAGGTCACAAACACTCTGAGTTACTGCTAACACTGTTAAGAGACACTCCTTTAACAGTGATACAAAACCAGGGTTCAATTATTTCTGTTTAACCTTTACTGAAAAGAAAAACATTATTATAACTTCTTAAAATACAATGTTAAATAACAGACACAAAATATCTAAGATGAACAGATTAAAAGCACTGATCAAAAACTTTTGTAATGACTTTTTGAAAGTGGACAGTGAGATGAAGGTATAGCGCGTCGGAGTATTTTAAACTCTTTCCCGTTGTCCAGGTGCACAAACATGAACACCAAAAGGCTGTGCTGAAAAAGTTAGTAGAGTGTAAACTGTGGCAATTACTGGAAATTTTAAGATGCCTGCAAAGATGTTTGCTAATTCTGCAAAAACAGAATTAGCAAACTTTCACTCACTCTGTGAAAGCAGAGTGAGTGCAGATTGCTGAAAAGCCGGTGTGTCAGAGGCGCCGGGTTAATCGAGAATGTTTCTGAAGGCTTCGGATGGTTAAAACCTGATGTGACTTTAGAAATCATCAATTAAATGTGAATGTAACAAGATAGTGAGCTGCCAAGTCGAGCATCAACTCTGACCTTTGAACCTATATAGATTACCTCTCACACGGTGAGAAGTCAATGAGAGATACACCCTGATGGCTGAACCTCTGGATCTGCTTGAACTTCTCGCCACCCCACAATGCAATGCCTCGCTGGTGGAAGGTTGCCAGGTAGGTGCCTTTGGGAGACCAGCGAACGTATGTCTCTGTCCAGCGCTGCATCCAAAGACAAACAGTTAAACCTTCTGCATGTTCCACATCCTGATCATCTCCACCTTACATGAAGCTGTCAGGTAACTCACCGCTCGCTCCTCAGCCAAGATGGGATCTTTAGCATCATTTGAGAAGATGGCTGTCCTCTCTCCAGCTTCATAGATGACACTGTACTGGTCACGGCAGTCTGAGTCCTCAATCCAGTGACGCATATTACCCTGAACAGGAAACCAGAGGTAAGAAAACAAATTCTTTTCCAAATAAACTGAGATTTACAGATGATCAAGTGAAACTCACAAAATCTTTAAAGGGCTGTTTCTCTGGAGCCTCCCACTCATCACTGATGTTCATATACCTGAAACAAAGAGTAAAAAAAGAATGGACTTTTAAGTAATGCTATAATGATAGATGTCTGCCTGCCACTCTGTTGACTGATATGTCACACACTTGTCAAAGTCAGTGAAGAGGTTAACTCTGAATGTATGCTGTTTGTCCAGTTTGTAGCCATCTGCATTCTTCACTGCCTCCACAGCCTGAGTGGGGGCAGCATACTCCAGAAAGATGTACCTACAAAGAGCAAGAGAGCGTTTCATGTCTTCAACTGGCACGAAAAGCAAAAAAATCAAGCAGAACAGGAAGCTCGTAGGATCATACCCTTTGGTCATGCCGTCGGCTTCCGGATAAAACTCAGTTGTGATCTTGCCGAACTTGGAGAAGATCTTGTGTATGACATTCTTGAGTTTTTCCAGCCGCTCCGGGCCCACCTGCGGGACGTTGTCCACCACTACCACCGAGTCAATCCCGTCAGCCTCCTGGGGTTTCTCCCGTAAGATGTCCTCCAGAAGTTCTGACCGGTTGACACAAGATAATAAGAATGAGAATAACTGGAGTGCGAGAAAGAAGCAGGACTGACTTATCTGTTCAGGCAGAAAACATCTGCACTGCTTCAGCCTCCTGCTTCACAACCTTCTGACTTGTCATTTATTCCACAAAAAAAACATGACAATTTTAATGGATTCTTTGACACATATTACTCCCAAAAGCTAATTGGGTCAAACCCATACTTTAAGCTTCCTCATTCCCATTTTATACCAACATACTTCCATTTCCGAGTACTCAACAATCAAATATTATTTTACTACCTGGGATATTCAGCATTTATTAACGAAGCAATCAAAGAAATGTTAAACTGTCAAACTGAAACTTTTGTCAAACTTTTGTTTCAGTTTGACAGTATATTACGATTCAGAAGATCTCATAATCCAATTTCTTTGAATTGCAGTTCTGACTTCTGTTTGGGCCTTCTGACTATAACATAAAAATCATGACTGCAAATAAAACATAAATAAGTATGAGCAACCTCCTGCTGGCAGATTTAATTTATTTAAGCTTGTTAATTATTTTATAAAAAACCTATTTAAATGCTCTTAATCAAATTGTTTATTCTGCTGGCAGGGGCTCAATTTCATTCTCAAAACTTGGGTATAAAAAGACCTAAACACATGGACTAAATAATAAGAAAGGCTGGTTTTAAATTTGATCACGTGAACAACATGAAACTAAGTTTCCTTTATAAGCTTATAACTAAGGTGAAATTTGAGGGATTCACAAATGAACTGACAATTTTTTTTTGTTGTTTGACATTGATCAATGGCAAAGTCAAGCATAAAAATCCTTTTTTTAATACACCAAAACTAGATTTTAGTCGAGAAATGCATCAACCAACAGCATGTATTTTCATGTACAAGTCAAACTTAGGTAAATGCTGGGAAAACATTTGATCCTTGATTTACAATATAATAATCTTATAATTCCCTACAACATCAGAAGGATCTGCAGCATATTTATTTTCTGCCAGAAAATCCTTAAACACAGAATCTCTAGCAAACACCCCATAGAAAACTTCTTATAAATAAGAAAATGATTCCTGCGATGGGCTGGTGACCTGTCCACGGTCTATCCCGCCTCTCACCTGAAACGTTAGCTGGAGACAGGCACCAGCACCCATCCTGACCCCACCAGGGACATGGATGTAAAAAAATGGATGGATGGATGGAAGAAAATTATTCTAACCCAATTTTATTTTCAGTCACAATAATTTATCCATTCTATAAATACACTTAAACTCTTCATGCATTGATAGCATTGCCCCAAGTCCACGTTTTACAATTTAAGAGATTTAATGATTCAACAACTTGATGATATTGAAGGCTTTTTTTCTGTAAAAATAGATGGAGAACAACCGAGTTTAGAATGATTAAAATTAAGTTTGCATATTTCATGTACTGCGTAACCGGTTGTTTATAAACACTTCGTAGGTTTAACAGAATAGATTTTACATGCAGAACAAACCCAGGGTTGCAATCTAAAGTGTCACCAGATGTTTCATTACATTATATGAAAGGAAAGTTATAGTTTTTTATTTTTGGCCTTGATTTCTACATCAGAGATTTATCAAGACTTATAAATATAACGTATAATGGGTATAAATGAAAAGAAACTACAACGTCAGAGCGAGGGGCTGTGTGAGGCTAAAACGGTCGGTCAAGAGAGGGGGTCTTCAAAGAGAATGACGTTTCAGTTCAATAATTCAAGACTGGATATTATGGTAAAAATATAACCATTAAGTTCCAATAAATAAATGAGATATAGTCAGGTATCTTCAAATGTAGGTACCAACACAGTTGATCTCTCAGCTAACAATTAGCAACAGGCCAGAAAGCCGGCGTATTTCCTGCCCCCGCTCACCCTCATCCTCGATGTCATCCTCGAAGTCCTCCGGGTCGCTGAAGGAGGGCTCCTCTTCCTCGTACTCTGGGTCGTCCACCATAGCCAACGTATCTTGCATTTACCAGGGCAAAAGATCAAAAGTCTGTCAATGAGGGAACGGATTTTCTGCAAAACGTGAGGCTAACGCTGGTCGGCCGGTGCGGCACCATGTGCGAAAATGGACGAAGAGGCGGAAACGGAGCGCCGGAAGCGGCTCGGAGGCGGGTGATGGCGTTGCGAAGAAAACCCAGATATGTAAATTAAAATGATGGGTAGGTAGCCGTATACTTTGACTGTTTAACCCATCGAAATACTTATATATCTACAAAGTGTCTCGTCATTTTTTGGTCAATGCGAGTTCAGTTCCCGCGAGAAAAAGTCGAGCTTAGACTGAATGAAACGTATCAAACGAAGACGTATTTTAGCTACCCGTAGCTCTTGGAGTTAAACAGAATGTCTGTATAACTTTGATAGATTTTATAACGTGTTAGAGACATGGACAGCCAATGTGTTTCCATCCTGCCCCGTGTCTGTGGAGTTCTGTTGGTGTCAGGAGGCTCTCTCCCGGATGATACCAGTCTGGAGAAACTACTGGACTGGTTTACGACCATGGCGCAGACTGGTCAGTAAGACGAACATTTTCCTAGATTAGACCTATAGAAAAATGTCATAATAGAATTAAAGTTGTCATTCGGTTCCAGAACTGTGTGTATCCCTTGAACTTCTTTTTTTTATTGCAGTAATAAAAATAAATCTGAAAAGTGTGGTATTTTGTATTTAGCACCCTTTGCTTTTATTCCCTTAATTAAAATGGCTTCAAAAGTTACCTGATTATAAAATGGAGTCCATCAACATATATACAGAAATCCACAGCACAACTATATAGACTAGTTATTCTTTCAGGAGAAAAACTAGTCTATAAACAGCGAAGGTTGAAAAAAGGCACAATAAAACACAGTTTGAAGTTGGCAAGACCGAGTATTAGAGAGTTATTGAGACTAACGTTGAGACTCGCCTTCCACACTTCCAGCTAAACGACTTAATCCCAAACATACAGGCAGGATCAGAGGTCTGAAATTAATTGTCATTTTGTGCCATGAATATTCTCTTTGAATTGATCAAATCCATTAACAAACCATTAAAATATTGATAACAGTCACTGCATTCAATAAGTACTTCTTAAGATAAAATAATATTGAACATTTTTTACATTGATCAGCCTTTCAGAATTTTGCAATTCTTTTTGTAATGTTTTTGCAGTAAAAACCAAAGTGGGGAGTCAGGGCAGGGGATGTGCAGATTGATCACATAAAATTCACCAAAAAAGTAATTGATGTATTTAGTTGTAGTATCACAAAAGAGGTTTTCTGTTCAATTTCAACTTGTCTGTGTTTTCGCTTCATTAAGGAGCATCTCTGTTGGAGGTGTGTCCATGTCTGGTTGATTTCGTCTCCAAGGTGGCCTTTAACTACGCCTCAGGCTCCAGCATACTTTCATTCACTCTGAAGCTCACTGGCTTGATCTGTGCATCTGAAGATGGCTTTAAAGTTCTTAAGGTATGACTAAAGAATACAAACAGCCCCCATCCTGGTATTCCTTTTTTTCATCCCTCCATCACTCTCTCTAATGTGCAGGAGTGCTCTGTATTGAAACTGGTCTTTAACCCTCATCACTGGCAAGAGGTAGGGTTTTGGGAGGATCCGTGTCTGCGGATTGGCTGGATCCAGGGTCTAAAGATGATTCTGCAGCACTCAGAAGCTCTCAGTTTTTTTGCGCAAGCAGGTAATTCATCATGTAGGACATTTGACCTTGTTTTGTTCACTTTGCTTAATAAGAGTTTTACAAAGAGACTAGCGGTGTTCCTTTATTGTCTGCAGATCTTATTGAACCACTCCTTCAACTTCAGACAGACTCAAGCCTTTTTGTTGCTTCAGCTGCCAATCAGACACTCGCTCAGGTCCTGCTTCTCTGTCAGTCTCTATCCTCTGTGGGTCATAATGGTTCAAAAAATAGAGACTTAGAACACAACAGTGTGAGTTTGGAAACCACCCAGAATTACAGTGGTATCATCACAAAGATCTCTGAATATCTGAACAAGTCAGTGGTTCTGAAGGAAATTTCACAGCTTCCTGGAAGCCAGCAGATCCTCAGGCTCCTGGTCATGCTCCTGGGCCGGGTCGGGCCTCCTCTGAGGGACACACTGCTGCTGGCTGTCATGAACTCTCTGGAGGAACTGGTGACAACAAGCTGCAGTCAGCTCACAGTTCCTCTCATGGATGTTATCCTGGCTGCAACCAGGTGAGATCATTTAAACTGCTGTTGAATGCAGCTAGCAGTCTTTGCTCTACCATTAAAGCAGCAGCAATAGATCTGTTTTTAGTCCAGTGTACCCAATAAGCTTAAGGCTAATGGCAAGCTTTATGCTGTACAGTACTGAGATAGTTGGTAGTCAATAACCACAGTTCACTGAAACACATGTATTTCGACTAGCTAAAACAATTCCCTAAATTCAGACCAAAAAAAGGAAAATTATTTTGTGGGTAAATATAAAAACAAATCTTTTTGTCCATGTGTTTTAAAATATTGTGCCCGTCAACCTCTTGTGTTTCAGTCCTCCCCTAATTTCTTTATACCTTGTCTCTAGTGAACTAAATAAAAGAAAGCAGTGAAACAAAAATGATAAAATTGTTAAATATCAAAAATCCTTAAAAAGTTAAGCCTATAGAACAGTGGTGACCAAAGTGGGTCCTCAAGCGTTGGCGTCCTGCATGTTTTAGTTCTCTCCCTGGTGGTCACCCCTAACCCTAACAATCTTTCCACATGTCAGTGTTCTTCTTAGGCCTCTAATGAGCCATCATTTGATCCAGGTGGATTAAACCAAGGAGAGAACTAAAAAATACAGGTGCCGGCCCTTGGGGACTGGCACCATTAAAGCAGCAGCAATAGATCTGCTGCTGCTTTAATGTGTTTGGGTGCGTCTGCTTATAGAAGCAGATAGCTAAGGGTAGCTGAAGCCAGTCTAACTTGACTAAGATTTTTAAAAAAGGAAAGTTTTAAGCTTGACAGTTTTCAGAGAGTCTGCCTTACAGACTAAAACTGGAATCTTGCTTCCAGAGTACAAACCCTGAGAACTAAAAGATCTTCCTCTCATTCTACTGCTAGAACCTCTAGGTAGCAGCAGTAAACCAGCAGTCTGAGAGTGAAGTGCTCTGTTAGGACCATATGGATCAATCACATCAGGGATGGGAAGCTAAAATCAGAGAAATATGATCTCTCTGTAATTTCATCAAATCCTTCATTAGTGCAGATTCTTCATTTACCTTCTAAAACTTTCTATGGTGCAATCAAACATGTTGTGGGCATAGCGAGGCTGAGTGGATAAGTTAACATTTATTGCAGTCAAAACAGTTCTTTGTGAAATGCATACTCCCTGGGCTGTTATGATGACGATATTTTAGAGACATAATGTGCAGTCCTACTATAGTCCAGCTTTGAAGTAACAAAGGCATGCTATGGGCTTTCTACAGCACTCTGGGGGAACATATTTTTTAATTTTCACAATTTTAGAGATTGAAGACCTTGAAATTTGTTTTAAAGAGTTTAAATAAGATTAGTCAGATTTAGCTGCTGCGAGAAAAGGCAGTAAAAAGGAATAGTCCAAAAACAAAAGACACTTGAAAGACCCTGAAATAGGCTGTAGAACTGCATCTCCTGGAGGTAAGTGGGAGTCACCTGTTAGTGTATTTAAATATTGTATCAATGGATTGCAAGATAACTATATATAATGTCACTTGTCATTGTAGAATATTAAAACATTTTTTAAACTTAGAAAAACTTTCTTAAAAAAAGTAATTGGAATGACAGTTTCTTTCCACACTCAAGCTTACACACAAGAAAAAAACACCAGAATTTTAATTGTGACTATAAATATGTGTAAACATCTCCACAACAAACTTTAAAGTGCTTAAAAATTAATAATTTTGTTTTAAGCAGAAATTTTGCAGGATTCATAAAGAAGAAACAGATTATTGAAACTAATGTCCTTCACTGTGACATTTTAGTGAATGGGTTATGATTGTTTACACAGTGGTCTCAGGGATGATTTTGTCCCAAAGCAGCGACTCATCCGACTTTCATGGGTCATGTTGAACATGAAGAAACCTGCCGATGTTATGCAGGCTGCAGCTGCTGTGCTGCGCAGCGACCAAAGGTGAGTGTAGCAGTAAGCTAGAAAACCTTTGATTTTCCTGTTAGAGCAGAACCTGCTATCTGGTTTGTCTTCCTCTGTGTTCAGTGACCCCGCTCTCTCTGCCCACTCTGCTCGAGTCCTGCTGCTACCCCTGGACATCGTCACAGGTGTCACCTTACTGGATGAGAACTCCACAGGTGAACAAACAACGTTGGTGTGTGTTTTTACATGTGTAAAAAATGTTTACTAACATTTATTACATGTTGTCGAATTCTGCAGAAGAAGAGCTTCGAATTTTAATAACTGAGCAGCTTAAGAGGAAAAGCTGCATCTCCATCATATGTGTATGTCTATCAAACATACCTCAGATCACACTAATGGTGAGTGAAATTAGGAGATAATAGGAGCATCAGTTATCTTTTTCCATGTTGAAACTGTCATACTTGGATCTGTTCCTCCCCAGGCTTCGGACCACCTCCCCTGTCCTCAGAGGCTAATTGTTACTGCAGTTTTGTTGTTACTGAGGCTGTGCTGTGTGGAATCCTCATCTTCATCTACTGGCTGTGTTGAAGTTGTCAGATTTATTACAGGAAACAGCAAAGTTCAGAAATGTGCCCTGGAGGCTCTGTTAGTCCTCAGCAAGAGTCCAGGTAAAACTCTGACTCTTCCAAACACAGCAAAGCATCCAACATCTCTTCTCTGTCACTCTGGGTGGGTGATCTGACAGGAAAAGCAGCAACAGGCAGGCTTTACCAAGTTTAAAGGGGTAGTATTATGGATTTTCTAGGCACATTGTGCCATTATAAAAAAAATGCAATAAATCTCCAAAAAACTGAAAAGAAATTTGACTTTATGAAATTGGGCCTCTGTCTCTTTAAAAACTCCTGCTCTTTCTGAAACTCTGCCTTCAGAAAGTCATCACAACATGGCTCCTCGATTAGGCCTTTAACAATGTTTTCAGACACTTCTTAGCATTTCACTGAGAAGTAGTTGCTATGAGCTCAACTGAGGTGTAGTTTCAGCAAGTGTTTGCTAATTGCTTCTGGCTAGTCTGAAGGAGCTGAGTGAGGGGTCGTCAGCAAGAGGATCTCTGGGAAGCAGAAACTATCGCAGCCTCAGAACTGTGCCTTGAAGGAGGAGCTAGGTGCACCCAGGGCTCTTGCACAGCTAAATTGTTGCTATGGAGATTAAGAAATTTCTTAAACATGAAAGAATCAATGCAACACTCTAGGTATAATTTTGTAGAGGGAATAATGCTATAAGATGATGTAAAGCTAAATCTTACATAATACTTTCCCCTTCAACCTGTATTTTTAATCCATGTTTTTACATTTTATTCTATGGTGAACAGTTTTGGAAGTTTTGTTTTGTCTGTCGCTCTTGTTTTTTAATTTTTTCTCCACGTTACTAGTTATCTTTTTAGATAAATAATGCCAATTAAGCCCACAATTTAAAATCCAGGCATTTTATTTTAAATTATGTATGTTTGTTTATTTTTATATTGCTTTATAGCTTATTTTTATTTTACTGTCAGCTAAAGTAAATTCATTTGTATTTGTAAAATGTAATATTTTTACCAGTACTTTTTATTTTTCCATCGGTGTTGTTCATTTTTACATTTCATATGAAATTTACTTCTAGTTATTTCAACATTATTTCATGTAGCAGACCCCCCAAATGAATGATTGTGGCTTTACCGATGAACAGTGAGGTTTATTGAAAGTATACATTTCACAATAAGAGCTGTATGTACAGACACACAAAGAAAAGACAGCGTAAGCTACCAAAACATGCCTTTACAAGTGTAACATTTGAACCCAAAAATAACATTCGCCACTAAAATATCAACCCTTATTCAAAAACTCAACCAGTAATCATATACAATAAAACAAATTTACAATTTCAACCAATCAATAATAGAATATCAGACGCCTATGGGCCAAAACTACAACCTCCTTTCAAATCCAGTTTTTGTTTGATTCACACTTTAAGTTTATTTCCAGCGGCTGTTAAAGTTAAAAGCTTTGTGTTAATTCATTTGCAAAAGGAAATTATGTATCTGAAAATAAATTAAAATATATTTTGTGTTAAAAAATCCTGTAAACCACAAATGTGGAACCTCGATCAAAATTGGGGACATTTGACATTTGGCAAAAAAAAAAATCTTTCTGATTCCATAAATAATTCGTTGCCAGTGACTACTCTCTCAGGGTGACACTGGCACAGCTCTAGAAAACACCCACCAAATGTCATCCAGATTTGATGATGTTAGACTTGCAGTCCATTAAAAGAAACAAAAACAACTCATTTGGCCAGGTGTTGAAGTTCCATAAATCAGATGAAATTTTCCCAAATCATAAACTGTTTTAATTATACAGCTATTAGAAACAAACCCATTTTTGTTTTGTTGAGTTGTGGGAGTTTTGAAACTGGAGTGTTTTTAATGTGTTCCAGAGAAAAATAGTACCAATATAGACCTTCCATGAAGTTCCATAAATCACAGAAAGGTTTCACAAATCACACATTTGTTTATATATATTCTGATTGTTTAGAATATTCTAGTTCAAGTTTGAAATGCCTGTGGTGGTGATTTTGCTCAGGATAGTGTGAAATCAAGTGGAGTGGCCTTTTAGCTATTTCTGGAATCGGAAGCCCCAGGTGAAGCCAAATTTACAAATACAGCTTTGTTGCCTCAAAAATGTATTAAAAGAAAAATGACTAAGTCTATCATTCTTTCTTGGTAATCAAAATCTCAAGTTCATATCAAATAAATGCATCCACTAATTATTTAGCTGAAGAAAAACACAAAGTTTAGGGGGTTAGGGTTAGGGAAAAAAAACAATAAAACAATTACAAATTTCTTCTTTTGATGGGCTTTAAATTGGAAATGACACTTCAGATGTGGAGGGCAATTGCTGGGTGTCTTCTAGAGATGTCCCAGTGTCATCCTGAAGAGAGAGAAGTCGCTGGTAATTTTTAAAGCAGCTGGAAAGAAGCTTAAAGTGAATGAACCTTAAACTGGAGGTGAGCTTTATTTTGAAAGGAGCACATTCCAAACTAGTATGGAAGGAGATACATAAAATATGTAAGATGTCACACTTAAAACAATTGTACTCCTCATTGTGGTTTAACCCAGCCATCTATATTGGATAAAAGAAACAGTCTACTGGAAACAATGGTTGATGAAAGGAATACATACTGTGGATGATTTATATAAGGACAGAGTTTTTATGTCTTTTTCAGACATCATGATGAAATATAATCTAAAAAAAGATAGTTTTTGGAAATATTTTTACAAATTAGAGACTGTATTATTAAAGATAATTTTATACATAATGATGATCCAATACAAGAATGTATGGGTTCAAGCAAAATTATATATAAATCATCTACGTTTTACAAATTATTTAATAGTACACAAAAGGATATATGTACAAGTCTGGAGATTGTCCGGCAGAGGGACCTTGGTTATATTTTTAGTGATGAAGAATGGTTGAAAATACTTTTGAATAATGGAAAATATATCAAAGAATCAAGAGGGAAATCTATGCACTATAAGGTAGTACATAGATTTTATTTCACCCCGTCCAGGCTCCATAGAATGGGCCTACTCGCCAATAATTTGTGCTGGAAATGCAGGACGGAACCAGGAACTTTTATACATATGATATGGGAATGTAAATGTATCTCTCATACATGTAAATGTAAATGTATTGGAATGTAAATGCACTGCTTGCCAGTGCATTCTGACAAGCAGTGTTACAACACATTGGAAAATGGATAGACGTGGAGATACCTATGTCACCAAGACTATGCTTACTGGGTGATCAAACAGTGATACCTAACATATCAAAGCACCGCGGTACAGGTGGGGACGGTCGCAGCTGCCAGAATAATCCTCAGACTACGGAAATCATTAACTGTCCTGAATATTAAAAGTTGGTTGGGATCAATGTTGAAAATAGTGTCATATGAACAAATGCTGGCTAAGTTAAACGATGACTTAGAAAATTTTAAGAAATCTTGGAACAATTTTCTTTCCTGCAATATTGGACGAAACAAACCTCTTTGAGGAATTGCTGTTTTGACAACACTGCTTATTATAATCTTTTTTTAGTATGGTTGATTATGTTATGATTATGTATATGCCAATTTTTGTGAAAAATTGTATTGATTTGATATGTGTAGACTTCGATGGGTTTTGTTTTTTTTCTTCTGTTTTTTTGTTTTTTGTAGGGGAATTTGGGGAGGTTGGGGAAGGGTAATGTACATATGTTCAAAAAAATAAAAACTTTAATAACAAAAAAAAAAAGAAAGGAGCTGTCGCGCACGTTGAACTTGAGCGCAGGCTCTTCTGTCATTTCCGAACAGGCGGCTTCGGAAATGACAGCAAGAGAGTTTGTAAGTTTTGGCCCATTGGGCCTCTCATTACAGAAATATCCTCATTTGTAAAATAAACATACCTGGCGCCTCTATCAACCGGGCTGCTAATAACAGGATACATTTTAACAACGTTGTTTCAACTGTCATCTGTTCTTTTCTGTTATTAAGCTGCCCTTCTATAATTTAAACAACGGAAGTTATCTCATCAAAATAATAGCATGAAATCCAAAACCGGAAGTCTACCATATATTATAGAAATACAATGAAATAAAGACAATAAGTGCTAAAAGGGATACAACAAATTAAGGAGCTTTAGTTGGGGTTATTTACATTTTAAATGTCTAATCTGGTATTTTCTGCTGTGGTTGTTTGGTTGTTTTGTTCCTTATCAGAGTTTGGTTGTTTTATTCAAATATCAGAGTGCTTCTTTGAAGCACTCTGATATTTGAAAATGTTCTGGTACTTCATGCTAAACAAGAGCTGGCTGAGTCCAGTAGGTTTATTTCATATTTTTTTCTGTTTTTGTTTTTTCTCAGGAGTGAAGATGGTTCTGGTTGATGTCTTCAAAGTTCTCACGGAATATTTAAATAGCCCTTCATCTGACCCATCTGTAAGTTTGTGTACATTTGACACTAGTCACATTTCAGCAAGAGCTCATAGAAATTTTAAAAATTGTGACTGTCAATCACAAAATTAATCATATTGTGCAAATTAAATTTTTGATCATGGGGCTCAAGATTCCTGGCAGTGCCTCTGCATTTCAGAAAACACTTAAAGGATTTTAAGTTTAATTTGTTATAATAGTGACACATAATTGAATATTTACATGTAATTATGCTGGACTTCTCTGTACTTGTCGATTCAATTTTATATCAACCTGCCATTGGCAGGTTGATGTTATCCACAAAATGATTCCTAGAGGAACAGTTGATTATTTAAGAATTAGCCTGCATCACCCATCCGTTCTCCTCTCCTCTCTGCATATTGAAGATAGTTATGGTGTTCATCGAGTTGATCTCTTTGTTTTTATCTTAGTGATGTTTGAATCCGATCAGTGACAAGAGTCCCTGAGGAAACTTAACTCCCAATACCTGTTGCTGGTTTATTCATCTCTAGATGAAAAAATTTACTCTGCTTCCTCACACTGCTGCAGAGGAAACTGCTGGAGGATTGGCAAATTGAAACCTTTATTTTTAACCTGACCCATCTGTAAATCATATTGTTGCATTTATGACCGTGTGGTCACCCATCAGAGCTGATACAGCTGAAGGTTATCCGGTTCCCTTCCAGTGGATTTCCAGATATTGATGACTGCTCAGGTTTTATGTCTAGTAAAGCTCTCTGAAAAGTATCACATTCCATTTTTTAAAAGTTGAGAACTAAAATAGAAGAAATGCCAGTTATGACCTATTTTTATGTCTTTGAAATATCTTTGTGTTTATGCGCCAGGTGCTCCAGAAGTCCTACCAGGCTGTGATAAAGTGGGTGGGTGTTTGTCCAGATCTGTCCTGCATCACAGACAAGCTCAGAGAAGGTACAGCTCTTGGATTTGTCCCTATGTGACAGGAAGCACACATAGACAGAAAGAATCTCCTCTCTCCTCGCTGCTAGGTTTTATCCAGGCGGTGAGAAAGCGTGCTTGTGACACGCGCTGGGAGGCCAGAGACTCCACGGTGGAGTTTCTGGGTCACTTGGTGGGGGCGCCCTCATGCCGGTCGTTCACTGAACAGGAGACGGATCCGTCAGATGTTCTCCTGGGCGGCCGCAGCTTTACGGTTCCTCTCCTCAAGGAGGCTTTGCAGGATCCAGAGAGCTACGTGAGAGCCAGCTCCATCTCTGCTCTGGCGCAGACACTGACACCCAGCTGGCAGAAGGGGACAGCATTAACACAGGAGGAGGTTGGCAGAAATAACAACGGATTTTCCAATCCCACCCAACATTCTCACTGTGACATTTTTAATGACTTGAAGTTCTTTGTTCCTTCCAGGAGGACATAGTAACCAGGCTGCAGGAAGTTCTCTTCCAGGACTCAGAGGGATTTGCCAGAAGGGCTGCTGTGAAGTACTTCATTGCCTGGCTCTCTGCTTGTTCCTCCCCTTCTTCCTGCTGGCTCCTCATGCAGTCTGTGCCGACCGTCCTCTCTCAGGGTGTCGTCGATCTGGACTGGGAGGTCAAACTTCACACTCTGGAGTTGGCAGAGCTGCTGCTGGACCGAGTCTTTCTGAATCCTTCTCCATCTTGTCCCTATGCTATGACGTCTGATCAAGCCCACAGATTTCCCATTGCAGGTCAGCAGTCAGACCTGCTCAGCAGCTTGAAGGATTTGGTCGATCGGGGAGTGGTCTTAGCTTTGTTGTGTGGTGTGGTTGACTGTGACAGACCCGTTGCTCTGAAGGCCTGCCAGCTGCTCCTAAAGCTCCGAGACGTTGTTTGCCCTGTGATGGGTAACACAGTTTTCTGTCAACTGGCTGGACCCAGCGTGATGCAGCAGGTCAGAAAGATCCAGGCAATGGGGAAGGACACCTGTGTTGTTTCTGAAGCTTACAGGGAGGCAGATAAGGAAGGCATATGTGCCAGTGTTGACCCAGAGTGTGTTAGTGTGTGTGAGGTGTTGAAGCTCCTGGATTTAGATGAGAAACTGAGTATCTTGACCCAAAGCAGCGACCACATCTACAATTCCCCCCTCTCTCTGCTCCAGGACATCCTGACAGCCGCTGCTGCTAGCTCTCATCCTGGCCGGGACTCGCGGCTGGAGCTCGTAATGGACTGTTACTAACCTCCAGACACACAGAAACAAACCATTTTCAACGAGTACAATCACATGATTTATTGCTGCAGCATATAACTTTTATAAAAAAATGTTTTTTTACATATTTGTTGAAACTGTCACTATTTGGTGACAGTATGGTATGAGACATAACATCAGATTTTTTTTTTTCACAATCAAGCTGCTCTGCCATCTCTCAACGCTAACTAGAAACAACCAATCAGGCGGGTCTTGGTGCTGTCAATCATCCTCATTGTGGTGCCGCTCACTGCCTTGATCCCTCCAACCTCCTTTCTGCCCGGTATGCTGCAGCTAACACAACTTGTAGTGAATGCTAAGGCTAGTTAGAATGGCTATTAATGATGGTAGATAAACAGTTTCTCGGTAACGACAAGTTGTTTCTCTGCCATTAGCACATTTAGCAGAAAGTACATGAGTTGAGTGACAACACTAAGTCCCTCCTCCTGGCTCTGATTTTCCTGTTTTTAGTTAGGAGTGGTGCATTACTTCAGATTGCAATAGTAGCTCAGGGAGGAGGTGGAGGTCAATCTTTTCATAAAATAAAATATGTAAAAAACTTTTTTTTGAAGTTACATAACCCAGCTTAAAACAGAAATTTCAGTTTTAGATCTTTTATTGACAGGATTACCTGAATGTGTTTCATTACCTACTCAAAATACAACTTGCCTGGTGTTTTGTAGATTTTCCTATGGTTTCAGAAAAAAAAATATTGGACAGAGGTAGGAGTGTAGCATCTTTCTGGGTTTGGATGCATGTATGATGGGGCACATTGTCCTTCCTGACCAGACTTCCACCCTCTTGTAATGCCTTTTTATGCTAAGATCGATCTTTGTGTACATAAATCCACATACAGTGTATCAGGCATGGAACACGGAAAAATACTTTAGCAATCCTGGTAGATATCTGTAAAAACCCTAATAAATGTATGCAATAAAATAGCTTGCATTGCTTTTTTCCAGGAACACTGCATGTGGGCCTGGAGTTATATGAATGATGAAGGATGTGTAAAAAATGACTAATGCTCACTGTCAAGTATGATTCAATTAAAATTCTATTCAAAAATACTTTCTTTTCTCAAAGAAAAATTAAATGTAACTCACATCCAAGAATCTTCAGCCTTGTTGCTCTGGTGGATAGCTCATTATCCACCAGAGAAGATGTTCCACAGTAACATGTTCTGGATGACACCCAAGGTAAGCGGTGCTAAGCCATCTCATGTGCTTGTGCTACTGCTCTCTAAATCTCTGTCTGGTCGTCTAATTAGGAATACGTAGCTTGAACGTCCTCCTCTTTCTCCTCTTTGGTCCTGCTCTTCGTCCATGAAGCCTCCTTCCCAACTCCTCTGGGATGTGATATTGTTGAGGTATTATTTTAATTTTTGAGATGCTAGTCAGCTCCTCCCAGTTATAAAAACAATACTTTCATCAGACAATTGTGGATCATAGCAAATGTCCAAAAGTAAATACCAAACCTGTTCCAGTTCCTAAGCATGTAAAACTAGAAGGAATAAATATCAGAACATGCAACGACACTACCAATAAAATGGAGGTGATACTATTCACATCAATTTACCATGTTGTACTGAGTATAAACTATGTACCATCTAGTAGCACAGTACAGTCACAGAGGCCCATGAGTATCCAAAACTCACTTCCAAATTGCACTCTAGAGCGGCGGTTTTCAAAGTGTGAGGCGCGCCTCCCCTGGGGGGCGCCAGAGCACTTTAGGGGAGGCGCGGTGCGAGGGAAAAAATAAACCGAAGAAGAAGCTGTCCGCTTGCTGTCTACTGGTTTGAGAGAAAAAAACGGACAAATCTTTAGTAAACGTGTTCATCCCGTTCACTTCAACCTATCTCTGCGAATGTGGGTTTTCTGCACTCGCAATGATTAGAAACAAATCCCGGTCAGGGTTGCTGGTTGGAGATCCACAGTGCAGCCCCGCATTAACCGGATTTGCGCATCAAAAGCACATTGTTCCCACTAAAACTAAAGTGAGCTGAACAGTAATGTTGCCAATTTAGTTAAAATCATACATAAAATGAGTTACACATGATTCAGGACCGTGATAGAAAAAAAGGGATGCGCATAGCGTGCTGAATGTTTTTTCCTTTGTATGCCACTACATACTTCCATACTGCACGCTCTTTTAGCTTGAGATAAATTGTTTAGATGAGCCACAAAAAGAGCTCCACAATTTTGTAACTGTTTAGGTTTTTGATTTATTTTTTAATTTTAAGGAAATGTGCAACATTTACAGATGTGTTCCAAAGATCTGATCAAAATGTTTTTGTTAAGATGTGAAAACACTGTTGGTATCAAACATTAAACTCAGAATCTCAGATGTAATGTTTGTTCGAGAAAACGGTTGAAAAATCAGTTTGGTGTTGTTCTTATCATTAGAAAAATGAAAAAAGGGCGTATTTACCATCCAAAGGCCCTGATAAAATAATTAAAATGGGAGAAAATGTTTCAAAATGTTCATGTGTTAAATTTTTATTCAGATAAAGTGTCATTTTAAAAGATGAGATGGTTCTAAGCTATTAGGTGTTTTGTAGTGGCATTTGTTTGTGTGTGGGTTGATTATTGGGGGGGCGCAGGAGGCATTGTGCTCCTTGAAGGGGGGCCCATCCTTTCATACTTTGAAAACCCCTGCTCTAGAGGATTTTCCACATATGGTCCACTGTAGCCATTAATGGATGCTGCAACTGCCTGTACACATAACTTCATGTGTTCAGGCAGGGTGCCATGTCCCATGTGTTTCCTGTGCCTGCCTCTTGGCCATCACTACTCTGCATATTCATCCAATTACATCCACATCAGGCCGTTTGTCAGGGTGTTTTACTTGAGGGGAGATTTTGTCAGAGTGCAATCAAGCGTCTCTGAGTGTTAAATAATGAAGTGTCCACTAGATTGTGGAATTAACAATATTAAACACTACATAGCATGAAAAGAGTATATGGTTCCAGGACATTATTATTACTGTAATTCTGATTCTTTCACAGGTCAAGACGTGACATGAAATCTGACTTACGGTGTATTATCCTGTTGTGTAGTGTCATTAGTTACCCCAGCAAGTCAGAGCACTTCACGAGAAACATTGTTTTACAACCACACCTCACCTTGCAACAGAAGAACAGCTTCTATTCTTCGTGTATAAAGCGTGAGTATGCACAAAAATGTGGGTCGATACTTTTTAGAGCCACCTTTCATTGTAACTACAACTACAGAGCTTTGGTGGGATGTTTCTAAAAGGTTTACATATGTGGAGACTGAAATGTTTTGTTTTTTCTTTACAAAATATCTCAAAATCAGTCTGGTTGATTGGAAACCGTCCATCAACATTAACTTTCAGTGTTGCCATAGATTCCTCCAGAATTATTATGAAGCTCCTGGCTACTTTTCTGGTTGATACTCTGCTAATCTGGGCTTGTCAGCTTACTACTTTGCATGGTTTGTCACATAAATCCACATACAGTGTATCAGGCATGGATTGGCTAAATCGGGAGAATTGGAACATTTGCCAGTGGGCCAGTCTGACTGGCGTTTCCCCTTTTTTGTGGGGTATGGGAGTTCTACTCATGGTACTGATGCGTTGCTACTGCTTACATAGCAGCTTATATGTGGCAAGTCTTTTCAACACTAAGTTTCCTCTGCCTAGCTGTATTTTTTCAAATGTATAGAAGTTTTTGTTTGTAACATGGCAAAAGGTGAAACAGTTCAAGGAGGCTGAACAGTGTTGTAGGCATTATTTAGCAAGAGAGAAACGTTTTTAAAATCATTTAAATCCTTTTTAATTATAACATGCAATACTGCTTTTTACTCTGAAAGTAAAAAGAAACTAAAGGTAATTTTATTTTTATAGCACATTTTCAGCAACAAGGCAATACAAGGTGCTTTACAGGAATTAAAAAGAAATACAAACAAAATAGCAAACCAAAGGAAAGAGCAAAAGAAGAAAAAGCTAATAATGTTGATCCAAAGTAAATAAACTAGATGATCCTATTCAGGGTTGCGAGGTAAATATAAGTAAGTATCCTCTGGTCTAATTCCTTTTCTGGTTTTGGAAGACTAGGAGTCTAGAAAATAGTTACTAAAGTAGTTTTTCTGGGTTCTAAGTTCTAATCCCAGTTCTGGGTTGCTAAGCGTGAGTGAAAGTATTCTCTGGACTTTCCAAGTGTGCTCCAGACTTCCAAAAGTAATAAGTACTTCACAGTTTCTAAGTAATAATAAAAACTAAGTGTTCCTGTTCTGGAAGATTTTTTCTGGATTCTAAGTTTCTTGTAATTTCTTTTCTGGGTTGCATTAATGGGAGTCTCTCCACATAATAATCTAAAGAATAATACAATATTGATTTAAATACTAAGTACTCTACAGTTTCTAGAATATAAGCTAAAGAGTTACTAATAAACCAGAGTCTCTGGATTCCAAGTTTGTTATAATTCCTTTTCTGGGTTAAAAGTGAGTACTCCTCAGTTTCTAATAGAATAAAATAAAAAGAGGAAAGGGCATATTAGGCCACATGGCAACACTCAGACAAAACAGAGAAAAAAAACAATGACCTGAATGAAGGAAGTGACATCACAGGGCCATGAAACCACATTGATCAGCATCCTGGCAGAAGTCCGATAAGATGTTGTTATGAAGTCATGTCCTTGGGAGTTCTCAGCTCCACAGCTGCATGGATAACAGGAGGGGGTGAGGTGGTGCTTAAATATCTTCAAGGAGATTGGAAATATTTAGCACTTCCAAGGCAACACAGAAAAAGCCAATTGAGATACAAAATGCCTTAAGTCGGGTCGATTATGAATTTCAATCTTCCCTAAAATTTCTTCGATACATCTCAGTTTCCCAAGTATCCAAATTAGTTTGGTCTTTCCACTGAAGCAAAACTAGCAACTTCTCCAAGATTGGGTCCATTCCATTAGTGAGTTTTAGAGTCCTGTGGAAGAATAGGAGTCTGGGCTGCGAGTCTCAGCAAGACTCACATCCAACTTGCATCTCTCTCCACACCAACAGTCTGAGTGTTTGCTAGTTTGGCCAAGTCCATCACAAATTCATCAATGACCCAGGTATCCACAAGCTCCGAACAGCAGAAATCCTGTCATCATAAATAAATCCAGGGTGTATCCCCGCAGGACGAGAGGGCTCTCCTGTGCCCAGTCTTCTTGTCAAGAAAATTTTATCAAATGTATTGAGAAACCGGTTGACCAGATCCATAATTTGTTCATTTGGAGGATATGCAAAGGAAGCCTCAAAAATAGAGAAAAAGACAGGAGAAAAACAGAGCAAGGAGGGTAGGCATGGGGAGGAAGGGAGCAGAGGAAAAAAGCATCCGCCTTCATCGAGAGCAAGAGAGGAAACTAATTACAGTAACTGAATGCACTGGGCTCTAACGGCTGTCTGTTTCTGTTATTAAAAGAAAAGGTCACCACTCTGTCTATTTTTGGTTCTTTTAATTTCTTCATCTGTGTCAAGCTCCCGTGTCACTACTCTCCCTTGGTTAGAGGCTCTTTGTTAAATCCCCAGCATTTGGAGGATGCAGACTGTGCAGATGGAGACTGAGAGGGCAGTCAGCCTCTCCACAACTCCATCACATGAACGAACACAGTGACAGACATTTCAGAATCGCTCCCCATTAACTTCAGAGCTGCAGCAGGTCAGCACTAACATGCTGATTATCTCACCCTACCATCTCTCTGCTGCACTCCACTCCACTCCACTCCACTCCACTCATTTGTGAAGTAAAACTTGGTGGATGCTCACTGTGCAGAATGGAGGCTGTGGCTCTCTTCTCTTTCACAGCATCAGAGGCAGATGAGATCAGCTTCCAGAAAGGAGACATCATCAAGGTAAGAATGGAGACATGCTGCAGATGTTTACATATTTGAATGTTTTTTTCTGCATCGTCACATGGAGTAACAGAGGCTTGTGGATTTGCACTGTAGGTGGTAGAAATGGAGAAAGACTCTTTCTGGTTCACAGCTGAGATTGAAGGGAAACGTGGATTCATACCTGAGAACTACATCTCTCTACAGCCTCATCTGTAAATAATCTATTGTCCAAATTGTGTTATTAAGAAACACACATTGTTTCAGATTTTCTACATTTCATGTGTCACATTGATCATTTTTGACTAAAACTAAATATGATTTAGCTAAGAATTATCTGCAGTTATGTTTATGGTTTCTGTTTGTTTCTTTAGCTGGTTTGCAGGAGCGATATCAAGACTGGAGGCTGAACAACGACTGTGCTGGCAGGACCCTGGAGTGTTTCTAGTGAGGGAGAGTGAATCAGCTCCAGGAGAGTTCTCTCTCTCTGTTAGGTCAGTGAATGTGCCATACCTCTAAATACGCTTTCTCTTCAGTTAAGGCTAACTCAAAGTAGTGGTGCTAAAATAGTTCTCTGTCATTGTTTTTATGTTTTTCTTCCAAAAAGACAGAATTTATTAATTAAGCCCAAGCAACGAAGCACTGTGAAGGCCTATTGTAATCGCAGGATTTCTTATTTTTCCGACAAAGTATGCAGCTTTTTGGAAGCTTAAAAATATTCAAAAACTCACCAAACGTCACCCAAAATTGTCCCCTAACTAAAAATTTTGGATTCCAGTGAAATTGCACATGGACATGGCCAAACTAATCTACAGTGCCCCCTAAAGTCAGATAGCATAAACCTTATGTTGTAAATATCTGAAATTTTGTACATAAGTAGATCCTCCCAAATCAAGATAAGTAGTCTCTTGGAGGTACCTCGTGAAGGAGGCGGCCATTTTGGTGCAAAGAGCAAATTTTTGACAATTTTTCACTTTTACACACCTTGAACTTTAACAAACTCCTAGGAATTTTGACATTTTGGCTTTAGTTTTGGTCAGGATGCAGTTAAGGGGAGGGACATCAAAAGTTATCAGAAAAACTGAGTTTTTGTATATGTTCAGAGCTCATGACCAAACAGTTAACTTGGGGTACTCGCCAAAGCAAACAAAAAGCTGTAACTTTCACATAAAAGACCCCGAGTGGTGACATACTTCTGTTTAAATTTAAGCCACATTGATTATTTGCTGTTACTGGTTGCTCCAAATGTTTTTCGCCATTGCTGCAAGAGCTGTATCATGAGCAAGACACAAAAGTTAAAATATCTGCGAGCTACTGGTACAACGACTGAGTTTTGTTGTGTGGCGTTGTGTCTAGTAATTAGCAGGCACAATCCAGCACCAAATTGTTCTCATTTTCCTGCTGATATCAAGGCTTCAAAGATCTGTAACCAAAACTTAGCCACTAAAGCTAACACTTTAGTGTTAGTTTGTAGCTTCCTGACATTTCAAGCATGATGATATTGAAGATGCAGCATCATAAATGGGAAGACGTGGTTAAAAGTAAGCTGTACTTGCTTCATTCAATGAAATCATTTGTTGAAAGAAAATCATGCTATCTGGGAAGAAATAGAAATAGAAAACTGTTTTATCCAGAAACAAAAACTCCTTAATGTTTATATTACAGATTACATAAAATACATTTAACGTACAACCGGAGCATCCCTCCAAAGCTGAAGGCAGCAGCACTTCCGCCAGAATATTATTATTGAGGCCCCCGGTTCAGGTCTATAGGTCCCCGAACGTGAGGCAAAATATGACTTCAGGGATCCAAGCCTTTGTCACATTTGATGAGAGCTGGAAAAGGGTGTCTCTTGTCTGTTAAGCATGGTGCATGTAAAATTATACAGAATGTCGCCCCAGTGGACTATATACTAGGATGGGTTAGTCATTGTTGATTTATGGTTGGTAAAAAGACTGATTAATTTTAGTGGCATAGTGGGTGTGAAATATTGAATAAAATGTTGTGCTACAGTGCTGGCTTTATTTTTACTCTTACATTTAACTTTATGACCCGTAAAATTACAAGAGGATCGCTAATATGTCTCCAAGTGTATTCTGGGTAAACTGGTCACTTGCCATCAACAGTCTCTTTGATGGCAACTAACCCGACCATTTTTACAGACTAAGTTAACATGAGTGGAGGAGCTCCATGGAGCGGCAAAGTGAAGAGGATGGAAAAAAGATAGCAAGAAAAAGGAAAAAACTGGGCGCATATTTTATTCATTGTCTTGGAGATGAACCAAACATTTTTGTTGGCAGCGATTTAGACCCGCAAAACTGCCAGCCCAGCGAAGGAGCCGTACTAGTTACAGGTAGCATCTCTGACATTATTCTCAATGTGTGAGTTAACTGTAGACTAATTGTAAATTGAATCCGCCGAGCTTACAAAACCTTTTTTTCTCTGGGCGGTACAACGGTGATGTCAAGGACTGAAGGCTGAGTTATATCACGTTTGGCAGTTTGGGTTGAGTGCGTGCGAGCCAAGACAACAGTATGGCGTTGATAGTTATTATGCTGCAGATCTTCTTCTATAAGTTTCTTGTTGAAAGCTCCATCTGGAGAGCACTATTTGTCTATCAAAAATTGTTTTGGGGGGACTCCTTTTAAATTTTCATATCCAACAGGTAACATCTAACTCAGGGGTCACCAACCTTTTTGAGACTGGGAGCAACTTCACGGGTATATATATATATATATATATATATATATATATATATATATATATATTATAATATATATATATATGTATATATATATATATATATATATATATATATATATATATATATATATATATATATATATATATATATATATATATATATTATTAATGTCAGGACTACTCACAATAGTTATCAGTAATAATTCTATAGTTAATTGCTATTATGTGATCAGAAGTTTTTAGCTCACAGAGTTTTAAGTTTGATTCCCTTTTGGAGTTTTTTTCTGTGATTCTAAACTGGCCACAAGTGACTGAAATAAACCAAAGCAAACTGATGGATTGTTGCAGTAACACCTGCAGCTGTACAGAACTGAGTACATTGAAATTTTCCTTTAAATAAAAAAGAAAAGAGTTATAGTTTTATTATCTAACCATCTGTTCTATTAGCAAAATTGTGGAAAATAAAATATCTTTTGTGTCAAAACATATTAAACACACAAAGCTGTGTCAGTCTGATGCGTGAAGTTGGGAACACCAAAGCCTCAGTCTTATTGGTCAGTTTGCTTTTATTAATTTAACGGCTTTCTGTTTTTCTGCAAGCTAAAAATGAACGAGTTGGGTTTGAACCTCCCGTTGTTCTACGTTCAGCCTGAGCTTCCGACAGTCTGCGCGGTTCTGGCGGGTCGCAGGTTTATTCGCTTTTTTCGTGGTTTTGCGAACCGAACAGCTGACGGGTCCCGCTGGCTGACACCAGCAGATGTGGAAAAAATAAAGGTCCAACACAAAACTATCACTGCACCTGACCTGCAAGAGCACAAGCACCTCTCCAATGCGCAAAAATCAGCACAAACCTGAACCAAGAGCAGTTGACTTTTTTCCAGACGATGCTAAATAATAAAGACATGGAAGCGAAGCCTCCTCATGTGGTTCAAGGAAAAAGGTTGTGTTGATTCCCAGGTGTGCGCTACGAATAAGATGTTTTGGCACAATTTATTTAATTTTCTTCACAATAATAGTAATAGTAAGTTAATAGTAAATAGGGTTAAATAATAAAAACTCCAGAAGTTATTCTTTTCTTTCTTTACTTAAAGGAAAATGTCCAGGTATGCAGAGTGCAGCTGCAGGTGCTGCTGCTCCAATAGCTTCCTGCAGGCGCCTGCGCGCAGTTCTGAACATTAACAGCAGGAAAGAGTTTTATACATAAAGCAATTTATTTTAAACATTTTTATCATTTCCCTCTTTTGAACTCTAAATATAAACAAACATCATTACTTCAATGTAAAAACATTTAATTAAATTATTTTGTGGTAGTGCTCCCTAATGATAATGCTGTTTTTAGAAGTGGCTCCTCGGGCGCCTAAAAAGGTCCCTGCGGGCGATCGGGTGCCCGCGGGCACCAGGTTGGTGACCCCTGATCTAACTCTTTCTAAAGATTCATCACTCAAACTGTTGTCATTGAGTCTGCTTTCCTTTATCTGTTGAAGTCTCCATTTCTAAGATGTTTTAAATGTTGTTAACTACGTTGTCATTTCAAATCTGTGTTTTTACAGCTAAAAACCTTAGTCATCTTTCCTGAGGAGCTAGTCTGAAATGCCAGAAGACAAGTTGCAAATGGATCAAACAGTCCAGACAGTAGTTCTGTCAGAATCTCCTGTTTATTGTGCAGTTAGTCTGATGATTGTTGTCCATCCACATTTAACACATATTTACCAGGACTTGAATGTGTGTTAAGCCCATCAGAGCGGGGAGAGTTTAAATGTGCTCAATGAGAACTTATTGCTCTAAAAACATCTCTCTGACACACACATTAAGCACAGAGTGAGGATGAAGTGCTGGTATTTGGGTCAACAGCAAAGTGACATGGGACTCATTTAATCACTGAGGGTAAATTAAATGTGTTCAATAATCAGGGCACTGCATAACACCAGACAGCTTTTTAATTATGCACAGGTATGCTATTATTATTATTATTGTTTTTATTGAAACATCTGTGTACCTACAATATCTTAGACTTATGACAATTACTGCAATCTGCACAACTAAATAAAATAAAAAGATTTCATCACACATTTAGGGGAATTGTTTTTGTGGATCATGTATTGATAAGTGTGAGATGGACTTGAAAACAGATTCCAACTTCCTGTTGAATGGTGGTGGAGTAAGTTGCGTCTTGGTGTGCTCCTGTGGGGTTGGCTCTTTGTTCATTGGTTGCCAGGCACTTTTCCTCGGCTTTGATCTCAAAGGACATAAGTAATCTTTACATTGTACACAATCTATTTTGTTTGGTCACAAAATGCCACCAAAGCCTGCAAAAGGAGGAAATTTGATACAGTCACACCTGCAGCCTGTGCCTCATGGTGAATCCTCGACCTATGCTGAGTTGTTTCCTCCTGGGTCAGAGGCCGTGGCCCAGGCTGCTGCAGTTAGCAATGTCAGCAATCTTAAAAAGGAGCTACTTGCAGCTCTTTGGTTTGACTTTACTGCTACGTGCTGTTCTCGTGGACGTCTCTCTTCGTTTAAGTCTGAGCTGCTAACCTTCAGAAAGGAATCATCCTCTAGCCTGGAGAGTTTCACGGGGCTAAATGTAATGGTTGCTGAGATGTCCACCTGCACCAATGACATTGTCAGCCTCCAGAAAAATGTGGACAGCCTTACTAAAACTGTGCCACAGTTGGAGGATAAAAGTGATGACTTGGAGTCCCTGTCCCAGCGTCAAAACATCTGCATCATTGGTGTCCCAGAGGATGACCCTTTGTTAGCTTCAACGGCTGCCGTCTCTTGGTTGCCAAAGGAAGCATTTGGTTTTGCAGAGGAGCTGCTGCTGGATTGAGCTCATGTCTTCCAAATCCTAAACCCAAGGCAGATGAGCGGCATCGCCCCGTCATAGCTAAGCTACATTACTACACTGACTGTGTCAAAATCCTGTTGAAGGCAAGGGAGCTTCAGCGGATCAAGGTGAAAGGTATAATTATCTTAGTTTTCCCCAATTATACTGCCAGGACGGCCCGAGCTCGGGTGGCCTTCACAGAGTGCTGTCGCCACCTCCATGGCATTGAGGGGGCCCGGTTTGGCCTGCTCCATCTGGCCTTGTTGTGGATCACCAATGACAGGACTACACAGGTCTTCACCACACTGGAGCAGTGGCGGAGCCAGAGGGGTGGCCGGGGTGGCACTTGCCACCCCCAACAGACCCCTGGCCACCCCTACTGCCACCCCACTGGAAATGGTCATTTTAAAATATAATACTTATGAGATCCGCAAAGATTTGCCAGGAAAACTGTAATTTCTGACTCTCCCTGAAGGCAGCTCGATGCCCGATGCTGTTCATTGGTTAAACTGACATGTGGACCTGCTTGTTCAAAAACACATCAACGGCTTTAGAGTTACACCTGTTAAGAATTATAGAGAGGAATAACTTGATTTAGCTCTTTAATTAATTCTTTGTCCCGAATTCTTGTGTCTGTATACGTGTGAAGAGAGAAAGACCAATCATACGACATCAGACTTCAGAGATCCAGAGTTTTATCCAGAGAAAATCAATGCAATACAGAATGTTACAACAAGCATCTCACCTAGATTATCAAAAGTCCAAGACATGACAAAACAGAGACAAAGAACTGAGTAAAAAGACAAAAAATATTAACAGAAGATGCATCCTCCGGGAAACTCTCACTCAGCACAAAGAGATTCGAACTTCTGCTGTGAAACAAACCATTTATAAGAATGTGTATTCTCCTCATTTAAATATATGCATTAGGAGGTGTGTTTTTTCCTTTGTGTGGGCTGTCTTAATGTTAATTTTATTACCTCTGAGACCCAAACAGCCAGCTCTTCTCGTACCAGGCTCCGACCTGATTTACAGCGTGAAACTGGAACGTTATCTCTGCCTCAAGATGCTTTAACAAGAAACTAGTTGGTGTTTTTTTTAACCAAGCTTGCACAAAATGTAATACTAAATAATGACTATAAGTTGGGTCTAAGACTAACTAATTAAAAACATGTTTTTAATGCTTAAAGAAATATACCAATATGTTTGATTATATGTTGTAACAGACTTCTATAGTTTTTAGTGTTTGCCTGAACTATTCAACCCTGAGTAAAGAATTTATTGCCCTGATAGCCAATACACTCCCTGTCTGAAATGTTCCTTAAGGAGTATAAGACTGCTTTCTGATTAGGAATTTATGTAAGTTCAGAGAGTCACCATCTGTCCCAGTTTGGATTTGTATCTAAGTTTATCTTAACCTAAAAGTTAACTTATGTACTATTGTGCTACTTTAAAATTCTATTTCAACAAACATCAACAGGACTTTGAGAGCCTTCATTGCAAACTCGATGAGGCTGTGGAAAACCACCCTTGAAGCCAACTGTAAACCACTTGCACAAGTGTCCATCAAATGTAGCATATACCAAGGAGATGCTCTGTCCCCACTACAGTTCTGCATAGGCCTGAACCCCCTCAGCCAAATCCTTGATCTCCTGCTGTGTGGGTGGTAGGCACTTGGCCGTGACTTACTTGTGGTATTGATCCTATCCACAAACCTTATCATTACTACACACAAATAGATATTAAAGAAATATTTGAACATCTTGAGTATATCTATTAAACAGAGCTTTCCTAAGAAGGAAACATTTGAGAATGTTCTCTATCCATCCTCTATGTACAGTATTTATTTATCCTTCTTATTTCTACCTTTTTCTGTCTCTCTCCCTCTTTCAATTTTATCAACTATATCTTTCTCTGTAATTATCGGGGTTAGGGTTAGCTCTTTTTTTCTTTCGTTCCAGCGTTCTGCTGTCATTCATTCTGTTGTCCGCCATCGTGAGAAATCCCTCCCTAATCCTCCATTCCAAAGCATAAGACGCATCCAAGCAAGCATTCATGATGGGTATCCGACTATTTCTAGCTGGAACCTCTCAACTTCTCAACCTCACACACTAGCTCCCGGCTCCTTACCCACCAGAGAGGTGACATTCTAAGGCATTCCAAGAGCCAGCTTCCGCACCCGAGGATCGGACCGCCAGGACCCCCTCCCTCTGCAATCACCCATCACACACTGCACCCGACTCCACTACAGGTGGTGAGCCCTTTGGAAGGGGGACCCATGCTTCCTCTTTGGGCTGGGCCCGGTCAGGCTTCATGGGTAAAAGCCCGGCTACCAGGCGCTCACCAACGTGCCAAGCGCAGGGGTTAGCGCAGAGGTTAACACCCGGACACGGGGCCCCGGTGACCCGTGTCCGCAAAGCCGGAAAGCTGACAGGAGGAGGAGTCCGGTCCAGGTCTGAGAGGTGGAGGATTCTCAGAGGTTGCAGATAGAAAAGTCATCGGAGGGTGGGCAGGTTGAAGAGCGGGTCTTGGCCAGTCTTGGATTGTAATCCAGAAGTTCTTTTCAGCAGAGGTTCTTGAGTATGGATTGGACACGGGTTCACAAGGAGAAATATAAGGACAGACTCAGGTCGTTAGGAACACAGATGAAAACACAGAGGACTAGGCTCAAGGGTGCTCAGAGTACTGTTAGAGGTGAACACCAAGCGCAGGAGAACCGGCCGCCCGCTCTTCTTATGCTAGCAGCGATGATGCCGATTACGCACAGGTGCGCAGGAACCACCTTCCAACAGACCCCAACCTCCTGATGGGAAAAAAACAGGTTCCCCACCCAATACCTGGTTCCAGCACCCAATACTTGGTGATGATTTATCATAAAAGGTTTGTGCTCTTTTTTCCCCCACACCACATATGCGTAGAACGGCTTGAGTGAATTCCTGCAAACAAAGAAACAGACACCAGGAATGAAGGCAAAGGAGATGATGGAGCAGAATACTTGCCTTTCTTCACCTGACTCTTATGCTCCTCTCTCATTTGGCAGCTATGGAGACAGGGTGGAGCACTTCAGAGTCCTGGAGGGTGGTGGTCAGTACTACATTTGGGATAAGGCATTCTGCTCCCTCAACCGCCTCGTGGAGTTCTACAGAGCACACAGCATCGCTGTGGAGAAAGTGGTCCACCTCAGGGATTACCCCTCCCTTCACCTGAACTCACATCTTGGACGCAACCCCTACCCCAACCCATATAACAGCAACTCGCTGGAGTCCATTCACTCAGCCCACTGCTGCCCTAACCCATCTCCCAGAGACTGGCAGACCTCCACACATTCACTCAAACCAGTTTTAGAGGTATGACACATAACAAGAAGTCACTTCTTCTCACTAGCTGATAATTGCACACCTGTATGTCTGACGCCATGATTTGTCTTTCAGCAGAAGCCTCGGGTGGCCCGTGCTCTCTGCAACTACAGCCCCTCCCAGACCACTCAACTCCACTTCCAGCGCGATGAAATCATTGACCTGCTGGATTGTTCCAGCTCCCTCAGCTGGAGGGGACGCTGCCGTGGCAGAGTGGGCATCTTCCCTCCAGAGTTTGTCCAACCAGTGCTCCATTAACTTCATATCAGCTATTCAATGTGTATGATGTTTATGTCTCTGATACTTCTCAATCAAGATTGGTGGTTCTTGCATGAATGATAAATTGGGCAGCCCCCCTTTCTGCCATCCCCAGACCAGTGAAAATGCATTTCTAGGGACAAGATCACATACATTACAGTACCACACAAGAGATGTAAGATAGTCTTCCTTTGCCCAGTAGCAAGTACGTAAATAAAAATAGAAACTTTGTCCACAGTGCTTGGACAGATTTCTTTTAATCTGGTGTTTGTTGTCCCTCTTTCCACCCTATGGCCCAGAGCAAAGAGCGCCACTGGTCAGGATATACCCCACACCTCTTCATTCAATTTTATTTTCATGACTATTCACACTGAAGTTTCTGTTATGGTGTTGGTAGGGATCGTTCAATGCAATCATTTGGGTCATGAGTCAGCATATCCCCTCTCTGTTCTGACATCCAGGTTCCTCCTTTTTGCCGTAGCATTTATGTTGTACCTCATCAATCTCAAGTTGTGATAGCACTTGTCGTTTGCGGATGTTGGAACTCTGAGCTACCAGTTGTTTAGCACTTAGTGTTGACTGGGGATGTCGAAGTAACCATTCCTTCCCCAGTCTTTGCATGTAAAGTTTTCCGTCTTGTTCCATCAAGGTGCTCTGGTTCCCCAGCACCTGACACAGACCTTGTTTGGCTGGGTAACGTCTGAGCCAGCATGTTACGCACCCCAGGAAGACAGTAGCTTGAAGGGTCCAGACTGGATTTCTCGGGTGAAAGACTGATGACTTATGTATTGAGCCATCCAGTTATTCCTGTCTGAAAACATTAGCCGAAGTTGGAGTATGTGGGAGATCGTTTGCAATTCCTATTTGCCCAAAGTCTTCCATGTGTGCATCTTTGAAGCTTTTGACTTAAGTAAATACAAAGTTCTCCAAAACTCAAAATTTTGGAACTGAACTAGAACAGAATGTGGACTTCTCCAAGTTGTGCTTTTGTTTTATTTTATCACAGCATTTCTTTTGACTAGTAATAGTAACTTTTTGAAGTAGCCCCTCCCTAACCCCCAGATTCTCAACAAGAATCTGTGGAGGGAGCTAAAGATTAGGGTCATGGCATGAAAGACTTCTAAACTCAAAGACTTGGAGATCATTCTCAAAGCTGAAGCATCAAGACAACAGTGGAAACATATGAAAAGCTGGTCAGCAATTACAAGAAGAGGCTGATAGCTGCACTGCACCAACAAAGATTTTCCCACTGATTATTGAGAAGGATATAAATATTTGGACATGTAATAATCATTTTATTATCATTTGAGCGATACCTATCTAATTTCCTGCCAGAAAGAAATTTCTTTGTTGAATGAAAATATAATATTGGGTTTAACTTTACTTTGATCACAACTTTTATTGCTCGGAGGTATTAGCCTAGTCACTGAGCACAACAATTAATAAGCCTTACAAATTTCCCAGGCTGCAAATAAAATCTGATTAAAGTGAATTTGATGCAATTCTTGATCCAGGTTACAACTTAAAAAGTAAATACAATGTAGAATCACCTATTCTTGGTCATGTGTTTTGATTATGTTCATCTGCTTATTCTGCCGTGCATTTAACTTTTGAGAAGTGTTTGTTTGATGTACAGAATTGTACGTTGTTGAATGTTTGTGCTAATTAGCTCTACAGTTAACTGGCTTCATTTACAAGACACATAACTTTCATCAATGTTCTTGAAGCACATCTAAACATAACCCTAGGACAACCATTCATACTGTGTTGAGGTGCAGTGAGTGGTGGTGAGGAAGACGCTAAAAGACCCAGGTCGTATGAGTGAAACAATAATTTAATGGTGAATAAATCTAAATGAAAACACAGTCCAACAGCCAGGCAGCAGAAACAATTGGACAACACAGAGCAGATGCATATGACAAGAACCCAACGAGGAACAAAGGACACAGGTGGGGTTAAATACACTGAGGGTAATCATGGAAACAAGACACACCTGGAAATAGTCAAGATCAAAGGAGAAACAGGACAACACGGAGACTCAGAGATTGAAACTCAATAATAAACACAGAAAATCACAGATCCTGACACATACTTGTAACAGTATGAAAAACGAGGTTATGTGTGTGCAGTGTATGTGTGTAGATTAAGCCACTGAGGGGCTCTGGGAAAACACTGATTTGGTGTCTGATGAATCATTTCTATGCTTATTTGCCCAATGATGACCCATTTTTAGATTTCTGGTAGAAGCATTAAACATTTAAAATTTCTTTTGTTTTTCATGCTAACATATATTTCCATTTGTTCATGCCAGACCTGAATCCATGTTCTTAAATCTTGGAAACTGTATCAGGCGTGGTTGTTTGATCCATCTTAGTAATCTGTCAATACATTTGGATATTTGTCTATTCTTCATTAAGGAATTTGAAGATCTCCCATTGATTTGTGGGCATCATGATTAACTTATCAATTAATCACAAGAATGAGATTTACCTCATCATTTCTTAATTTAATAAAAGTGTTACAGCTTCAGAGGGAATCAGTGTAACCTATTAAAATAACGAGTTTCAGAAAGACTTTTACTTTTTAATCTGTTTTATTATTTTGTCTTTGGTCACAAACCCTGGTGTGATCAGCATAAACCGGATCCAAACACAGCAGTAAATCTTACATTTTTCTTCTTGCTGAATATTTTCAGTCATGAATTCATTGTGTCCATGTTTGTTTTTTTTGTGCAACTATCTTTCAGTTTATTTAACATATGCCAATGAAAAACAAAAATATGATTCTTTACTACAAATAATATTCAATAAAACATCTCTAAAAATTAATACCATGAGACATTAAAAACGTTTTTGATTTTATTTGAGAAGCTGTTGTCTAATAAATGTTTCCTTTATTGTTAAATTGTTAGAAATGAACAAAAAAAATATCTGACTTGAGACTAAACAATATCTAAAGTCATGAGTATTTTATAAGACATTATTTGACTAATTCTCAACCTTTTCATGTTGAGAATTGGTCTAAATGGCATCAGCATGTTCTGCCAATCATAAATCAACAATGCTGAAGCTGGCTTCTGATTGACCAGTGTGGCTGCATTTGGACCCACTATAATCAGCTCTGGTTCTACATTTACAACAGTTAGTCCCATCAAGTCTGGATCATAGCACCACAAAACCTCTAAACTCAGATTCTTTAAGCTCAGTTTGTGAATTTTTACACTGATCTTAAAAATTCTAAATGTTGCAGGTTTTTTTTATATTAATTTAAATCAGACCAGTTTAAACTAGAGATACACTGTAAACGAGCCGACAAAGAAAAACCTTCATATATCCTTGTGATGAAGATCTCTTAGGGTTTATGAAACAATCAGGCTGATTTTGAACAAAGTGTAAAGAAATTAAGTTGATTTAAAACTTTTGCACAGAGCTGTACCTGTCAGGCATCTAAAAGGCAAACAATTAAAAAAAAGTCTTGTCAATAACCTCTACCAGTTTGCAGTTTACAGGTTGAACAGAGTTCAGCAGAAGGCATGGTGAGGAACGTTTCCAAATCTGGCAACAAATTCAGGCAAAGTATGCATATAGGAAAATATTAATGCAAACTAAGAGGAGAGCATTGGCACAACAGAACCTGGACCAGAACACACTCTCCCGAATCGTGGGAACTCTGGCAGTCTGCTCTGAGCGCCGCATCGCCGAGAGGCACAATCCTGCTCCTTGTCCGCACACGGCCCGGCGAGCCTGTTCAGATCCTGCATCGCACACATGGATCCACATGATTACGACCCTGAAAATGATAGCTGAAATATTCTCACTCTTACCCTGTGAGTTACGGTGGCTGACAGAAGACACTTTCTGGAGAGGAATCTCTCTTTCTGGCTCCTCAATTATTGTCCACCAGGTCAGGTTGCACACCTGGGAAAGGTGAAATACAGAGAAGAAAAACGGTTTGAATTTTGCACACATTGGGAACCACTGCCCTAACTGATAACCTCAATGTATTTATGAACTTTGTGTTTTCATGGTGGCAAGTATCCATGAAAAGTCATAAAAGAGAATAAGTAAGAACCCTTGACCATCATCTGTATAATTCCACTTTTAGCCTGTTATTTTATTGTTTATTAAGCATTTTAACAAATTCAATTATTTATTTTGATTGAAACATGCAGACTGGAGTGGGTGTGTCTAGTATTGAGGCGTCTGTGAGGACTTGTAGGTCACGATGCCTGATTCTCTTGGCTGTTTTTGTTTTAGTTTCCTTCCACCTCCATTCTTGTTTTATATTTTGGTTTTCTGATGTTGTAGGATTTCTGAAATTATTATGAAAATGTGTACACATCCACATGAACCTTTGTTGTGAGATCAAAATGTAAACATGCCAAAAGCCAAATTATAAATTGAGGAGTGAAGTGGAAAGCCAGTGAACATTTCAGAGACAGGTGATACTGATACACACCTCAGTATTAATTCCTCTCCTCCATCAGTTTCCCTCCTTTCTCCCTGCCACAGTTGTACCACATCTGATTAGTTGATCTGGTTCTTCCTGCCTCAGTAGTTAAGCTTGCTGGTCCTCATTGTTCATTTGATTGCTCTGTGTTCCATGACCTGCTCCCTTTTCGTTTTTTATGTTCTCTTTATTTTAAACCACAGCTTTGCTCTGCATTTGGTTCTTTATTTTTCAACCTAGATCATGACAATTTGACTATTTTCATCTTGTGCAATGCATAAGCTTTTGATGCATCGTGCACGGTTGTGCTGCTACCTATTTGAACAGGGCTTGTTTAGAATAAATTCTAAGCTACTTGCACAGTTAAAGTAAAACATGACTAAATGGCATATAAAGATTTAAAATGTACAAGTGGAAAACTAGAAATTAAATCTCATTCCCCCATAAACTGTCCACAGTTTGTGTTTTAATTTGTGATGAATGGAAACCATTGTGGTTGCTGAGCTTTTGTTTTTCTGCTATATTATTGCACTTTTTTCTAAGGCAATTATTCTTTATCATAAAACTGTTGCACTAACCCATCCAGTGAATAACTAAGAGAAAAGGGAGGCTATATAGATGACTGTGGTTAAGGTGTGGACAGTAGTATGGTTTGTATGTCTAAGGAGATTATTGATCCAAATATGTCTAATGTTTTTGCAAATACTGTGGTGTCACAGTTTGAATATCTGAGACTCTGCAGAAGTTTACACACATAGCATAAAGGTTGGATTAGACAGGAATGACTGTAACAAATCAGGCTAAATCTGCTAAAACCTGCTAAGACAGGGCGTTGGTACAGAAAGCTGACATTTGTCTTTTGGGTTCATACACAGGCTGCTTGAGCAATAAGAGACGTTACAAATTAGGTTATGTTGTTGCAATGAAACTTCAAACAATTAACACAACCATTTCTTGGAGGATCTGATGGTTTATGCTTGCAAGAGTGCCAACCTGTTCGTGGCTGGGTGGCGGTGTGACAACTGACACCACGGCTACGACGATAGCAGTGAGTCCACAGAGCAGAATGGCGAAGTGAAGATAATGAACACCACGTAACACCATGGGAGCTGAGTCCACAACGCCACATCTGGGAGGAGGGAAGGCAAATTCCAGCACCATCCTGCACACTCCTACCACCAAACCCACCATGAGGCCCCAGAATGCACCCTGAAGAAACAGAAACCGCCCTGGTCAGGTCCAGTTCTCTAGCAGAGTACCTACACCTGTGCAGTGGTCCCTAGAAACAACAACTCAGAGGCAGGAGGTGGGTTTATCGCTGACAACCACAATCTTTAGCCAGCAACAATATCTCAGGGAGGAGGTGGAGGCAGTTCTTTTCACAGATTATTTGTCTCATAGCAAACTGTCATGACACAGAAAACATATTTTTTATTAGTTATATTCTGCAGCTTGAACAAAATGGAACTACATAGAAATTTTTAAGAAGTCATTATTACTTCATGTATATTTTGCATGTTGCCTATGACTGTTGCTGGAGGGGACATTTTAGTAATCTAAAACTAATTAAAAAAAAATTACACAACCTATTTGCATACTGTATGCAGACTGTAATGTAATTCACAAGCAGTAAATATTGTACTAGTATCAGTATTGGACCAAAGAAAAGAAGGCAGTTACAAGCCTTTAAAATTGTGATGCTTTTGATGGGTCAGATAAACTCAAGAAACTAACAGCAGGTGTGTGGGAGGCCCAATTTTATGTTTTGTCATGGGATTCCTGGTGGCGCCCCTGCTGGGTCAGTTAAACTAAGGTCCAGACCTACATCAACTGAGAATCTGTGGTAAGGAATAAAAAAATCATGTTCAGATCAACTCGACTCAAGCTACTTTGCAGAGAATATTGCTCAACATTTCAGTCTGCAAAGCTGTTTGAGATATCCGCCAGTTACAACTGCAATGCTTCCAACTGTATCTCTGTCTGTCATATTACAAGATGTGAAAAAAATTACAGAGTATGAATGCTGTTGCATATGGTTGTGTGTTTCTGAATAAAATGCAGAACTTCCTCCTCTTGGAAGACTCAGTCTAATTCCAGAAACAACTCTTTGTTTGAATCGTTTCACTTAAACTTTCCCACCATGTTAAACTTTCATGTCAGAGACTCTATGAATACGAATCTGCAACAACACATAGTGTCAACTATCCATTTTCTATCATCTTTGAGAAAGAATGCAAAACAGTCCAGATGACTTAACTGTCTTTATGAACAAATGTCTCGTCACATCATGATTCAGAAAGACAAATAATCCTGCTAAGATGTAAAGTAAGTGCTGATTGTCTCTTATTTGCTCAATGTCCAGACTGGGTGGGTGTGTCACTGAGGAACCAGGAATATGAAGTAAACATATCATGTTGGGGTCTTGTTTGTTGGCTGTGAAGAAAGTATTGCCAGGTGACATCATCCACAGCTATTTGGGCTTTCAAGATTAAATAACAACAAGATGATTATATAAGATTTTGATAAATCATGCTTATCATAGTGTCCAGTTGTGTTTGTGTCACAGTTTGTGTGTAATTACCCTTATGAAGCTGTATTTGCAGCCCATATTTATATGTAAAGCCAATTCTGTTCAGACAACTCAGGTGTGACACAGACTGTGCAGCAAAGTGTGACCTTTGACCCCCACAGAGCAACACTATGTAGATTTTTATGGTAACCCACTTTGTGTTTTTTATAGACACACACACGCCCACACATATGAGGGACCATTTAGGAAAAATCTGTTTTGTCTCACACACTGCTAAAGACTCACACAAAATACTACATTTGCACATATCGACTACTAAAATATCACAGGGACATACAATTTTTTTTCTCACATGCATTCATAAAAGACTACAGTTGCACTTTTTTTCTCAGACTCATTTTTTGTATGTCAGAGTTGTCACGGAAAAGGTCAGGCATAATTTGGAGATCAGATTGCGCATGCGTTGATACCAGAGTGAAGTTAGCTTCAAGTTGGATATTGTATGTTGGATATTGGCACTCTGCGGTGTAAGCGGCGTTTAACTCAAGGTTGATCCAATTTATGAATGCTAATTTCGGCCAGCTGTTCTCTACGCTCCCTCCTCCAGCGCTCGGATGTTCAGTCGGGGCTCTAAGGCCGCTTACAAAGCTCACAAAGAGTCTTGAATCAGAATAGCAAAAGTCAGCTGATCTCTCATCTGAAGGAACTTGAAAAGAGGACATTATGAAAGCTGTACTGGAACTATCTGGTTCCAAAGACAATTCAAAGTGCTTGTATAAGAGAGTTAAAAACAACATAAAAGAAGATAGTAATTAAAAATAATGATAAAATAAAAATAACAATTAATAAAAAAATAAAAGATCAAGCAGATTGAAAATAGACAAAGTAAACAGTCAGTATTAACAATTTAAGAATAGGCCACTCCAAATAAGAAGGTTTCTAACCTTGCTTTAAATAAACTCAAGGTAGGTCAGTCTTACAATGAGCAGGAAGTTTATTCCAGAGTGTTGGAGCAAAAAAAACATGTTTGGTTCTGACTTTCGGAATAGTGAATAGGTTTGATTCTGATTATCTTAAAGGTCTAAGTGGTTTATATGGTTTTAGAAGATCAGAAATGTAATCTGGGTTTCTATTATGAAGTGCTTTATAAACTATTAAGGAGATTTTAAATTCAATTCTTTGAGCAACAGTGCAGGGATCTGAGAACTGGAATGATGCGCTGATCTCTTTTTGTTTGTCAGGACTCTTGCGACGGCATTCTGGAGAAGCTGGAGCTCTGATTGCTTTTTTTGATAATCCAGTAAAAATGGCGTTGCAGTAATCGCGTCTACTAAAAATGAAAGCATGAACTAATTTCTTAGAGTCTTGGGGGGACATGAGTCATCTAATTTTAGCAATACTTTTTAGATGGTAGTATGATGTTTTTATGATAGATTTGGTGTGGTTATTGAAGTTCAGATCAGGATCCATGATCACCCCCAGATTTTTGGCTTTGTCAGAGCATTTCAAACCAACAGATTGAAGGTGGGTGATTATTTTTAATCTGTGCTCTTTTGATCCAAACACTAATATTTCAGTTTTGTTTTTATGAGAAAGTTATGGCTCATCCAAACATTAATCTGCTCAATACATGTTGTGAGTATTTGAACCTGACTGTAATCTCCTGGTGAAAAACTAATGTACAGTTGTGTGTCTATGTGAGCAGGAAGAAAACAAAAAGTACAAAAGTGATCTGAAAATGCTACATCAAGCACTACACTGTTAGATGTAATGAGTCCTTTGGAAATAATAAGGTCCAATGTATGTTCATGATGAGTCCGTAGTTCTTCAGGATCTGACGTAGCTCTTTACTGCCTTGAGCAAATGGATTATCAATATGAAAATTTAAATCACCAATAAGAACAAAATCAACCAAAATTAGGGACAATAATTCAGTGAAATCATCAAAGAAGTTTGCACAGAATTTCGGCGGTCTGTATATATTCAGCAACAAGATACGAGAGGATGAGTTTAGTTGCAAGGCAACATATTCAAAAGATAAAAAGTTTCCATAGAATATGTGCTTACTGGTGAAGGCAGAATTAAACAAGACTCCACCTCCTTTTGTCTATTCTGGTCTGGCTTATAAAGCTAAAATTTGCTCATGATTCAATAAGAATAGATGAGTTGTTATCTTGATTCAGCCAAGTTTTGGTCAGGAACAAAAAAATCAAGATGATAATCAATAATAAAGTCTTGAATTAAAGATGATTTTCCTGCCAAAGATTTAATGTTTAATAAAGCCAATTAAACAAAGCATGGAGCTTTCAAATTTCTGTTTGGTTTCAACATTGCTTGAAGTGGAATAGATACTAAATTTTGCAGTCTACAGACTTTTTTGTCTCTGCGTGATTTCATTGATTTTTGTATATTTTTTTTTACAGCTTTCTTCTGTAATCCCTTTTTTATGATGGGGAAGCACACACTTAAGTTGTGGAGGTTTTATTCCCAAACACAGGCTGAGTTGATGCACATAGTCAAAGTCGTTGAAATACAATAATGCAAATTAGTTTTTAGTATCATGCTACCATTGTTGTTGAGATGAACTCCATCCCTCATGAAGAGGAATAAGTTAAAATTATTAATAAAAGCAATATCCTGCAACCAGCCAGCATACCTGGTCGCAATTTATATTGCAATTTACGTGCAATATACATTGCACGTAAATTGCAACCAGGTATGCAGGCTGAGGATTCTGCTTAAATGCCCAGAACCTCGTTCAAAGGTTGGAATGGGCACAGAAATAAAAACAGTTCATCGCAAGTCTTTAAAAACTTAAATGCTTCCTAAAATTGTCTTTAATTTTTCCTGATTGTTGCAGGAGTGCATCATTAGTTCCAACATGAAGAACAATCCTTTTTATAGAGGAGGGCTTGGATGGGTATATTTCCTGGAGTTTACTTAGGATGATCAGAGCTGTGGCTCCAGCTATTCAGTGAGTAATTGCATTAAAATATTGTACTTTCCTGATTATGGAGTCACCGATGATCAGTGTTGCAGGTGGAAACAGTGGTCTAGGAGATTTTCCTTCATTGTGGAGGTTGTAAGCGTCAGGAAGGATTAAATCCTTCTTTCTCAAATGATGGGAACTCGAGTCTCCATCCGGGATTGTTTGCTGCAGTCTATTACCGGTTCGTGGGGTGGAACCGGTTCTTCTTGCAGGAGGAACGGGGACTTTTCCGCAGTTTCGTTTTACGGCCTCGCTCACCAGTTTGCGGCGTGACGATGAAGCTGGTCCTTGAATCAGCTGCCGGTTCCGATTATCCAGAGGACATAGGTCAGTTGCAGATATAGAGCGCATAGAGCAGCACCAGCCCAGATGAGCTTGAGGCTGCAGCGTTGTCCAGAAGACGCTCGTCGGTGTTGACACAGAGCGGTGAGAAGCAATTTTTGACTTCTAGTGACTGACAAGGAGCGTCAGTGAATGTAGTTTTGCCATTTTTCCCTTTACAACCTACGTGTGTCCAGGATAATTTTTTAGACTCTTGGGTCAGGCTAGGAATTGAAGTGAGAAGGGCAGCTTTAGGTCGGGCACCCAGACGAGGCCAGTCGGTAGATAGCTGATCAACAATAGATTGATACCAATCGATATCCTGATTTGAAGTGAAGCTTTGTTTAACGGCCTATTGGTTGGGCATATTGTTTTTAATTATGATTTCAGGGCTCTTGCTAGATGAGTTCCGGTCGATTGATCCGCAGGTAGGGAGCCACGGTAGAGTTGATGATGCAGTGTCGAAGTTGGAGGGTGGAGGATGGGAAGATGCCGAAGAAGCACGGGGATTCGTAAAAGATGAATGCAAAAGAGAAATTTGGCTGGATTCTGCCAATGCGACCGAAATAAGGCCATTCAGCAGTTCATCTTTACTTTTATTTAATTCCCCCACCTGATTGATTTTTTTCCTCTACCGCAGGGATCACACATTTCCGCGTTGAACCAGCAGCCCTTCCCAGTGACTTCCCAATCAAGCCTTGTGCGCAAACACTGGTGACCAGCTGCATCCAAAGCATTCCTAGAAAAGTTCCCAGAAGCTCTTCTAGCTGCAAAGGGTGGACCAGTGTCATATTTAACCATATGGATTAGGTATGGGATCTCACATACAGTTATATAAGTCAAGGCAGGTGAGCAAATACTTTTGGCAACATAATGAATCCTGATGCCATAAGTATACATGGGACAATTCCAGCAGGAATTCCCACTCATCCATAGATTTACGATTGATGTCAACAATTGGAGTACAATATGTCACAGATAAATCTCACAATACACTTGATCAAATGAGTCACAACCACAAACAAACTCAAGTGTGTTCACACATTTAAACAAAAAAAGAAAATAAATCAACTCCATGCAAAGCAGTGACAGGAACTTTTGTACAAGGCCAATAAAACAGTCTGCAGTACAACAGAAGGAAACACAAACAGTTCAGAGATAAAACCCTGAAAGCTCAGTATTATGGCGCTACAAATGGGGTAAATTTCCTAATGTACTTGTTGCTCTATGGTCGAAAAGGTGCTGAAATTTTAAATCACAGGTCTCAAACTCAAGTCCTCAAGGGCTGGTCAACCTCTGTAATTTTAAATCACATTTGCACCCATACATTCTTATTAATTCTTCTAAATTCCAATAAATTTCCAAGGAGACTCACCCACTTTGAAGATTTCTTGAACTGCAAAATTCCAGAAACTGAAGGAGTGAGAGCAGGACCCGTTTCAGAGAGCAGGGTTATTAACCCTGAGTATTTAGCAATAATTTATCACATACATAACATTTTTCACTTTATTTTTGCAAAGTTCTTATAAAATTTGAATACCTATAGAAGAGAGGCAATATGTTGCATTGCAGCTTATTATGGGTCGATATGTTTTCCCACAATACCTTGCTTCTCTTCCATAGGTATTCAAATTTTATAAAAACTTTGCAAAAACAGATATAAAAACAAGTGAAAAATGTTAAGTATGTGATAAATTATTGCTAAAGCGAACATTTGTTTTGCAAAGCACAAACTGTGAGCATTTTGTGCAAAAGTCGTACTTGTTCATTGGTCCTCTTCCAAAAGACTGCCAGTGTGAAGACGGCTGTGACTGGCGGAGCCAGGTAGCTTGTCACTGATTGGATGTAGACGTAGAGCTGGCCGCTATTGGCTGATTGAAGGATGGGGATCCACACCACACTCACCACCACTAGGATCACAGTGACAATCCTGGACAAACATGAATAGAAACAGAATCAAAAGATATTTTGTCTGTTATGGATCATTGCATAATAAAACAGCATCCTGATGATGAAGTGTGCAGGTGATGTAGGGTACCTGCCAACCAGCAGCAGCTCCCTCTCAGAGGCTCCAGGCCGGTGTTTTTTCCAGATGTCCATGGTAAAAAGTGTGGAGCTGCTGTTGAAGATGGAAGTCAGAGATGACATCAGAGCTGCCATCATCACTGCTATCATGAGCCCCCTCAAGCCTGCAGTCCAAACAGACACACACACACATGGAGAGATGTGTGCTGGAAAATATTCAGAAATTAAGTGGGGGGAAAAAAAAACTCACCACTTGGCATGAGCTCAATGACCAGTTTGGGAAAGGCAATGTTGGAACATCCAACCTCTGCTCCACACACCCGTACACACTCCTCTGGATCAACACATCCCACAGTGTCTGAAATATGAATATCGTCACCAATGGAGTGGAAAACAAAACCTGTTTCTTTTTGTGGCCAGCAGGAAGCTCTTTAGGTGTCCACAGTTCTTCAGGATCTGACGTAGCTCTTTACTGCCTCGAGCAAGTGGATTGTTGCTATGAAAATTTAAATCACCAATAAGAACAAAATCAAAATCAACCAAAATTAGGGACAATAATTCAGCGAAATCATCAAAGAAGTTTGCACAGAATTTCAGCGGTCTGTATATATTCAGCAACAAGATACGAGAGGATGAGTTTAGTTGCAAGGCAACATATTCAAAAGATAAAAAGTTTCCATAGAATATGTGCTTACTGGTGAAGGCAGAATTAAACAAGACTCCACCTCCTTTTGTCTATTCTGGTCTGGCTTATAAAGCTAAAATTTGCTCATGATTCAATAAGAATAGATGAGTTGTTATCTTGATTCAGCCAAGTTTGCATTACTGCCAAAGGCAGTGGCAGTGATGCAAAAATTTTATTTTGCAAACTTTTAATATTTGTGGAGATTTTGTTGTCTTTACATTATTGTGCAGACTGATCAGAAGTACATTACTTTATCACAACAAGCTTTATTAGCAGGGATACCTGAAAAGCAGTGGCAGACAACTTAATTGTTGTAGAATAATACGACAGCCTGGAATAAATGTAGTTAACAGATTGCTTGTGCCTAAAAGATCTATATTTTTGCATTTTTAATAAGCTGCATGATTAGCATAAAATCATTCTCAACATGCTGCCACATGTAAGGAAACCGATGCTACAAATTCTTCACCAGATGAAAAAAAAATATTTAGACGATGGATATAGTTAGGTTAAGACTTTTAGTTGAGGACTCTGCGACTGGAACAGCAGCTGAGGAGCCACTTCTTTCCAAGAAAAACATTAAAGACAGACATTCAGCAGGAAGGACAAATATGGAGAGCAGATATTTTGTATCTGACGCTGCTGTGACATCTGACTTTCCCCTTTGTGGGACAATAAAGGCATTTTCTATTCTAAGACTTGAGCAAATCTAGAGTCACCACATTAAAACTTGTGACCATGAGTCTCCACAGAACGTATATCTATTGAAAACCGGTGATATGAATGCAGGACAAAATGAGATATGATCAAGTCCAAGAATTATGAACAATCATGACTCACTTCTGATCAGGAGTTGGTCTATTATTTGTAGCAAGTAATGCTAAAAATAAGTAGCATTGTGTAGCATTATTTGTGTAGAAATAATGCTACACAGATTTGATGTACTACTTGTGGATAATAGACTGTGAGATTAGATTTTTTTTCACTAAACATAGTGACAAAAAGTTTCAGCAAATAAGATTAGCTGAAACTGCAAAACACCTTTCTGTTTGTTGTGCCCTTATAAAGAACTTAACTTGGGTTTTTGATTTTGTGCAATTTTATTAAACAAAATCCATGGTTCCAGCACAGAACTTTGAACTCCCATCATGCAATGTGTAGTTCTTAAATGGGCTTTATTAGGATAGAAATGTATTAAATACAAAAACAAAGTAGTTTTAGCACATATTTAGCCATAAACCAAAAGAATTGTTTTAACCAAATTCTAAATGAAATAAATGCTTACCTAATAAGATCAATATGTGTATTTATTACTTAAACATTTTCACGTTCCTAAAATATTTCCAGGGCTCTACATATTTGTGCCAATTATTTGACTTAAAGTATTCTTCAAATGACCTTCATGTAGGTGTCTTTATAACACGTTTTATAAATGTTCTCATGAGATAAGTCATATGTAGAGCATAATGTATTTTATTAAGGAATACAAAAATATACTTAATAACAAAAACCTAAGAACTTTTATATTTAATGAAGTTATACCTAAAATTCCAGACCTGGAAGCTCCAAACACCCAATTTATTTCACATTTTTGTACTTTTTTTTATCACACAAACAAAAACAGCAGACCCCTTGAGTTCATGCCATTTAGTCTACTCAGCAATTTTCTTTTCGAGGAATCTGCTCATTTTGGCTGAACTTTGATATCCATCAATGCTTCTCATTAACGCTCCTCAGTCACTTCATGCTTTAGTGAGCTCGTTGTTTGAGGACGGAAAAAGCCACATGTTTCTTTCTCCGTCCGGTTTAGGGAGGGAGGAGTTGAGTTGAGTTGAGTTGAGTTCAGCTTCTCTTTCCTCACCAACACTCCGTCTTTCTGCCCACGGGCCAAACTTCCAATCCCGGATTCTATGATGAAGATACAGTCCCTGTATCCATTAGAACAAGTTTGAAAGGTTTTTCTCAGTAGTTTCGAACACAAGAACTGCTGTGAACCCGGATACAGTCATGACATCTGTGCCACGTTCATGGAGCGACGGCTCCAACTGCTGCCTGGACAAAAACCTCCGAGCTCCGACAACAAAGAGGAAATGTGACTCGTCAGCGCAACAGTTAGTCTGAGTCACGCAGTTTTAGCAACGGGGGATTAATAACTTGTGTCTGTCTGGCGGGTGTTTTCACCGTCGCGTTGACTCACGGACAGACACCTTCAAGCTCATCGACTGGGACATCTGTCTCCGAGTCTGCCCAGCCCTGCAGCTGCCGTTGTGAGAAGCGGGGCCGCCGCGCCGCGCCGCGCCGCGCCGCGCCGCCGCGGGGCTTCTTTCAGGTGAAAGGCGGGGCTCCGGGAGGGGAGGGAAGGGAAGGAGGGAGAGCTTTGTTCAGCCTCCACCTGACTGAGACTCAGTTACCCGAGCGGTCCGGGTTGGGCTGCTAGCTGCTGTTAGCTTATTAAAACTTTACTAAATGGACCCGCGTAGTAAGACTGGAGCAAATCGAGGGTCACTCGGACTCTGTAATGACTTTTAGCACGTATTTGAGTCTTGACCCCTCGGACCGACGAGAGGAAACTGGGTCAGACTAGTTTCTGTGCTTATTTGTTCACTTTAACTGGGACGTCATGGCGTTGTCTCAGATCCAGTGTCTGGATGACCACCACGTCAACTGGCGCATTAGCGAGAGCAAGCCGGAGTTTTTCTACAGCGAGGACCAACGACTGGCCCTCGAAGCTCTCATCACCAAGGGCCGCGATGCGTTCATGGACTACATCCAGAAACACGAAGTTCGGGAGTTCCTCTCGGAAAGAGAGCTGGAGCGAGTCACGCGCACCGCGGAGGCGTACCGACCCGGGTACGAACACCACCAGAGGCCCGAGACTCCCGGGCCGGGGAATGTGACTCCAGGGTCCGCGGAAGAAGCAGAAGACGGGGAGGTGTCTCTGGCATATTGGCCAGACCGGTCCGAAGCTTCGGTGGCGGAGTTGGACCTTGGCTGGCCTGAAGCCATCTCATACCGAGGGGTCACGCGCGTGACCGTGCACACGCAGCCTCCCACGGAGGGTCACACGCACATCAAGGAGGTGGTTCGCAAGAGCATCGCATCAGCCCAGAAGGTAGGTGGTCAGGAGGAGCATGGCAACAATCAAGATTTTATTGGTAGAAAGTAATAATAATGGAAGTTTTCCTCCAAAAACAGAATGTACACACGATGGGGACAACTAGAGACCTAAAATACAGCTAATAAAGAATAAAACTCTGTGCTTCATGATTCTGAACCATTAAACGATATGTGCATGTTGTCTTTAAGCTAATCAAATGACATTTTCTTTGATGCACCTTGAGCTTATTAAAATTAGATGAAGTCTAGGGATACATAGGTTTTATAATGATGAATAAATGAGGATAGTATTGTAAACTATGGCTCATTGGTCAAAATAAGCTGTGCTAAGCTTAAATTTAGTTCAGTGTGGCCTATAGCTTAATAAATTAAATGATTAGTGTTTTTTTTTTAAATAATGTTTATCATTTATTTAGCAAGTGCTATGTTAAGATAGAAGAATGCTGACTTCACTTCATACAGAGGAAATGCCAAAAAGGTCCTCACTGAAGAATCTAGAGTGTCACAGAAGGCTGTATCCAGATATATCAATGAAAAGTTTAGTGGAGAAAAACACAAGCAACAGCAATAATCTCAGCCTTAAGAAGATTGTGAGTCAAACCCATCTTTGAGTCTTGAAGAGATGGACAAATCATGGACTGTATCTGGAGTTAGGACTCACCACAAACACAGACAGCTATTGCTGTCACAAACTTTATGTTGGACCACTCATGGGTGAAGGAGAGAAAGCAGTGGTTTGATGATTAGTGAGCAAAGTATTTTTTAACGTTAAAGTATATTTTGGAAATCAAAACCCCAGGCTGGAGGAAAGTGGAAAGTCACAGAATCCAATCTGGTTGATGTCCAGTGTGACATTTCCCACAGTCAGTGCGAATGACTGGAGCTGAATTAACAGCTGGTGTTGGTCTACTGTGTCAGCTCAACCATGGAATTGTAAAGCATCTCTATATTTATACATGTTATGCATATGTTGTGTAATACTAATAGTGACTTCCTGTGTACATAAATTCCCCTTTGACACGATAGGTGTTGGTGTGTTTGGACTCTTGCAGTGCAAAAATAACTTTAGAGGTCTTAACTATTAATAAAAATTACTTTTCTAACAATAATAACGTGATTAGATGCTAGTCACTACATGTACTGCTTGGCTGTAAATTTTTAAGTGACACAACAGCATATTTGATTTGCTCTTTGTAGACCGGTGGCCATGTTTCTGCTCAATTGGCAAACCCTGTCTTGACTTTTCAGTTTAAATCTCACCATCTGCCACAATTTTCTGTCTCATAAATTTTGCTTTACCTTGTCCATGTGCCACCCTTAGACACGCCTGCAGCGTTATATTGAGACAAGTTTGAGCTTGGAGTGTCAGTGGAAAGAAATGCATTTACGTCACCGAACAAGTTCACATGCCTGCACAATGTACATCACTTTTACCTTTCTTACTCATAAATCTTGGTACATGCTCACTCTCTGGTTTCGTCTACAAAAGAAGCAAAAACCATTAAAATAATTAGACTCGGTCCAAAAATCATGATTGATTCATTTTCCAATGAACCTAAGAGAGGCAGATTAATATAGTTATCTTGATTATCTTTTAGCTGTGCAGATTTAAGCTTCTAGTTTGGTTAAGTCAGTGGACTGTTGTTTTTTCTATGCAGCAGAGGAACACGGTGGCCAGTCCAGCAGCATTTTATCACCTCTCTGCAAAACAGTCATCTGATGAAACCTGCATTTTCTGGACTGGAATCATTTTTTTCTTAATTTATTGTTAGATTCTCCAAAGTACCCAGCTTCCTCTGTAGATTAATGGCTTTAATATTGTTGATAACAGCAGAACAAACTGAACCCACCCTTGGAACAGGAAAGACTAACAACTTCTGGTTTCCTGTGTGTGTGTGTGTGTGTGTGTGTGTGTGTGTGTGTGTGTGTGTGTGTGTGTGTGTGTGTGTGTGTGTGTGTGTGTGCAGGTGATAGCTGTGGTGATGGACGTGTTTACAGATGTGGATATCTTTCGAGACCTTCTGGACGCGTCCCATAAGCGTAAAATCCCCGTGTACATCATTCTGGATATCGCTGCAGTGCCCTGCTTTCTTTCCATGTGTGGCAGAGCTGATATGCATCGGGGGCACCTAAAGGTCTGCATGCACATACACACACTATTTTGATGAGGAGCTTGGATTAGATGACAATCTGGAGTTACATAAATGGCAATGATTATAATTAAAACAGTTTTGATCTCCCAGAGAACACATTCTTAAGAAAATGACTGTTTTTAACAATAAGATCACACTTTTAGATGTACATCATTAAGCAAAGTTCGTCATTGATTTAGAGTTGCAAGCTTTTGCCTGCAGACATCTAACTTGCACCAGCCAGTCATTCACTTAACTGCTTTGTTATTTTTTGCCTCTGAGTTAAACTGGTTCAACTGCTAACAGAAAATACTTAACGTTTCACGGAAATTTTCTACGTGTTTCGTTTTTTTCAGACTGGAGGCCAGAAAGATCCTGAATACATTCCTGTCTGTGCAGCAGGCAATTAGATAAACCTCCCACACTCTCAATTTGCTGTTGCTTCTAGGTTTCTTTTTCTGTTCCTCTTCTTCCTTTCAAACAGCATTATCTGCATTCTTAATTTTATCTCCTCTTAACTTTTTCCTCTAATCTTTCCCCTTTGTTATTGCAAGCTTTACCAACTCCTTTCTTTAGCTGCTCATGAGAGATTTCACACAGAACTATTACTCAGCCAGGAACCACACCCTAATCACAGAACCCTAGACAAACACTACAGGGTGTGTCAATGAAGCATGACAGTCCAAGCTCTAACCTGCACAGTCACTCAACATCATGTGGAGGTCATTAAAGCTGATTCTTAAGCAACAAGGAAAGGCTTTCTTTTGAGGCTCTCCAGTCTGTTGTTGCCATTATGTTTCCTTTGTGCATTAAAGGCTTTTCTGCAATGAATGCCAACCCTGGTAGAGTTCTATAGTGTTAACACTGTATGTATATGTGTGTGTGTGTGTGTGTGTGTGTGTGCGTAGAATCTGCGAGTACGCTGTTGTGGAGGTTTGGAATTCTTCACACGATCGGCACAGAAGGTGCGGGGTTCCTTGAACGAGAAGTTTCTCCTTGTAGATGGAGACAGAGCCATCTCCGGCTCATACAGGTGAGCAGCCCATGAGTCAGTGCTTTGACACTAACATACTGATGATAATAATGAGTTCAAGTATTTCAAGACTGCCTTGTAGGACTTTTGTTTAAGTCTAACTTTTTTTGACTAAAGGTTTGTGAGATTTTCTGGAAAATATGTAAAAACAGTGTTTTTACATATTTTTTTCAATGCCTGACAATTTTCAGTGAAATCAAGCCACTTTAAATCTGACTTGAGCATTCAAGCACAAAAGGCTAGTGAATCCAGAGAGAAACTAGTATGTCAAGAAATAAAATACACTTTAACTTTATTTAGCTTTATATGGTGTTATAATGTTATCCCCTCCTCCTGCAGTGTTGCCTTGATTGTTTGAGAAAGCCTTTTATTTCCATGGCAACCTTCCAGCCATGCTAAACAACCTAGCCCCGTCTTTGAGGGCGTCGGATCAGAAAGATCAAATATACTGCGTATATGCAGTGAGGTAAATACGTGTTGAGCACTCTGCAACTTTGCAAGTTCCCCCATTTAGAAATCATGGAGGGATCTGAAATTTTCATTTTAGGGTCACTATGAGAAAATCTGAAAAAAAAAAAATCTGGAAATCAGAATATATGATTTTTAAAAAATAATTTATTTGTGTGTTAGCAGCCGATATTAAATATCTGTATCGGAAGTAAACGACACAGATCACTGCATCCCTATAAATTTGAGTGGTTTATGTGTGAAAATGTCCAAGGAGTAAGAATTCTTCTGACGTCCTTTCATCACCTATGCAAGGACCTTAGTGAATGACTTGTTGGAACTGTCAGTACATCACATCGTGTCCTCCTTTTTGACTCCCAGTTGACCTGAGAATATGAAGGCAAAACCAGTAAAGTTCATCAGTTATTGTGAAACCTCTGTACAAGCAAATCACTTTCAGAGACATTACACCCTGTGTAATGCATTCACTATCCAATGTTTCCCTTTCAGGCCTGCTGCTGCAGGATGCATTACGCCCATTATCATCTGATGCCAATTGAAGTAAATTAGCCTGAAACCTCAGTCTTTAGTTCTGAGCTGTTCCTGCCTTCTGCATCGCCACTGATTCTTCCAGAAAATGTCATCCTTGACAATTATGCAATAACATACATAATTAGATGATGTTTGACTTCAGCAGACATATATCTGGTATAATTATTAAACTACATTAAACTACAGAATTCTACCCACAGTGTAGGAATCTGCAGATCTAAGCATGTTCAGTTATCACTGTGACCTTATTCTTTAATCTATGTGTTATTCCAGTTTCACCTGGTCCTCGTCCCGTCTGGACCGGAACCTCATCACCGTCATCACAGGGCAGGCAGTGGAGACCTTTGACCTGCAGTTCCGGGACCTCTACCTCATGTCCCGGGGAGTGTCCCTGAGCAAGGTTTCCTTGAAGGATGAGCCGATCCCTGACCCAGTCCCCCAGGCGGTGCCGGCTCCTGTCCCGGCTTCTGTCGCAAGGAAGCTCATCAATCCCAAATATGCACTGGTGGCAGCAGGAAATCACACCAGTCCCACCTCCTCTGACCAGAACTCAAGTAAAAAAGAATCAAACTCCCAGAATCTTGCTGGGCTGAAGGTGATGAAAGGACGCCTTAAGGAAGTTATGGAAGAGGCGTGGTTACATCCGGGCTTAGTCAATCTGGAGAAAGCCAACCTAATCCCCTATCTTCCCACCTGGCCAGAGCCAGACCCCCCAAGTGATGTGATCGGCTTCATCAATATTAGGGATGAAAAGAGGGCGCATCAGGTTCACTTACAGAGGTCAGAAAGGTTTGAGGTCAGTCAGGCTATACGCTTCAGTGCACCTCTGACTCAACCAGTGGCAGCTGAGGAATCCACCTCAAATCAGGACAAAAAAGAGCTAAAAACAGAAAAACATAGCAATCCTAAAGGGCCCACTGCCATACTTTCAGCAGAAAACAAGCAAATAGAATCTTCAGATTCCCCTCAGCAACCAACCACAACTCCACAACATAAACCACAACTGCCAAAGTCTCCAACCCAAGCCAAGGTTGCTGATGATTCACAGCCGACACACAGCACTGGAAAAACTCTAGATATGGCACATGCAGGACCTCCTGTCCCCAAACGCCGCACGCTGCAGTTAGTCATAGACCCCACCTCGGCAGAGCACCCCGGTGAGGCTCAGGTCACGCTGATAAAAATGGATCTGGTTGATAATTTGTACACAGAGTGCGCTCACACGGAGCTGGTGCCCAACAGCAGCCTCTTACCCTCAAAGAACGATGGCGAAGACTCGGGCAGCAATGAAGAGGGGAGCCAAGACAGCACGAAGGTCATATGTGACCGAGCAATCAACGAAGACCCCTCAAGTGCATCGACAGCATCAGAGGAGGAGTTCCATAACTGTCCTCAACAGGAGGCCAGTGACCTGCTGATCAACGGTGGGCAGACTCGATCCGGCAGAGGGCAGTCCCACGGAGACGGACTCAACATGATGGCTCGCTTCTCTCAGAGCATGCTGGACCTGCGGGAACCCCACCAATCGGAGGGGGGTGCTTCCCTCATTCGTCAGTCCCAGCAACTACGCAGACTGGAACATGCTTCCCCACACCGGCACCTCGGGCAGGTGAGCACATACTACAGAATTCTACCCAGTCTGTATGAGGTGCTAAAAGAATGAGCTGCTCACAGAAAAGAACTAAAATGACCTATGATCATCTTATATACACATAGTAGCTTTAATGTGTTTTTGGGTGTGTGTGGGTTTAGTTGCCAGTCAAGACAACTTTCTTTGTTTGAACTATTTGCTCCAAGACCGTAAAAAACCAACCCCACGCTCTTCCACATTTTCTCAGGTTACAACAGAATTTGTTGTGCTGTCTTGAGATTTTGTGTGAAAGACCCACACAGGGTAGCATAAAAATGCAAAGAAGAAAAATATCATAATTTACAATATTTAATATATACTTTCATTCAGCTCCCATTTCAATGAAACCATAAATTAAAATACATTTGAAGCATCTGCTTTCAGAATTCATCTAATCAATTATTAAAGGTCATTGGGCTCTAATTATGGAGAGTGAAGAGTGCAAAATTCCAATAAATAACATGAAATTATTTAAATGGCATTAATTTAGTAAAACTGGAAATAAATACACAAATAATGTATTAAATGGATTTATTTCCAGTTTAGTAATTTGACACATTTAAATTGTTTAGTTATTTTTGTAATTTGTCACTCTTTGTTCTCGATATGCAATATAATTTCAAAAATAAAAGTTAAACTTTTGCAAAGAAAACAAGTTTCTTAAGCCAGCAGAGTCTTTTCCATCCACATATAAAAAGTGTGGAAAAATAGAAAGTCTACCTAAGAAAATAAGAAAACTGATATAAAAGAACATTCCATAAACCATTAGGATCAATTTGGTGGGAAATATCTGTACTGATGTTGCATCAAAATATAGCAACTGTTCAAACCAGCTTGACTTTTTTATATCATTAAAATATTTATTATCTGACAAAGTTATTGATCCCGGTTAATACATTTTGAGAAAATGATGAGCCTGCCGCTCTGGAGTCTTCGGTTCTTGACCCCTGACCTGAACTGTTAACCTCAGATTCATTCAGAGAAGCAGCCCAGAGGCCATAAGAAGACATGTTTGCTGCAGCTTCATGTCTTCTGCATGATGCTGGACGAGGAGGATGATAAGACTAGATAAAATAGATGGAGCTAAATCCAAGTTCAGGAAGACAAACTTGCTAGAGGTTGTAAGACTTGAGACTAGGACAGGGATTCAAACATCAAGCCAAAGATATAATCGAAATCCTTGGATTAAAGTGTTAAAATGGCCTAATCAAATTCCAAACCCAACTGAGAATCTGTGGCAAAATGTGAACATTTCTGTTCAGATTCTCAACATCCAGTGTGATAGAGATTGAGATATTAGCAAAGAAGAATGGGCAACATTTCTATTTGTGGGAAAAAGTGGGCAGTGGGCCACCCAGCTCTGAACAGCACACCTTGAGCTTTTTATTCCTTAACTTTCAAACCAGCATCATGAAGTGAGAATGATGCTGTTTTATGTCACAAGTAGTGACATAAAACTGTATCAAACACGTGTATTGACATGTGAAAGATTTATATGAGTTGGCATACTTTTGTATGGTGTTGTATATTTGAAGTGAATCTTCAATCAAAATAAGAAAAAATGATAGGATGTTGTGTTTGTCTACTTTGTGTAATTAAAAAGTTTTCTTGTTTTTAGTGTGTAATAAAAAAATCAAAGCATGCCATCATCAAACCTTTAAAAATGCTGAAATTAATTTTTAAATCTAAAAATTTATTTTGATTTAATCAAGATGAATTACAGCTGTTCTGCATGACCTTTAACCTTTTCAGGTTAAAGTGATCAGTGGGAGAGTCCTGAGCTTCCCCAAAATCACAATAGACTTACAAGAAAAGCACACAGACATTCAAGCAGCACACACACACACACACACACACACACACACACACACACACACACACACACACCCCCACACACACACACACACACACACACACACACACCCCCACACACACACACACACACACACACACCTGTTTTACAAACTGATGTCAAAATCAGTTCATTTCATCTCTGATGGCAAAGCAAGTTTCTACCTGCATGAACGTGGGATGTTTTACCTTTGTTTTCTTAATTAAAATCTGTGCCAGCATGTTGTTCAGTATTTGTGTGTGTGTGTGTGTGTGTGTACGCACCTGGATAGAGAGCTCGGCTAATCATACCCGGCAGGATGATGAAGATGAAGGGCAGCAACTTTAGATAGGCGGCAAAGATCGACGCTCCCTTCACATGACTCATGTTTTTAGCTGACAGGGACCGTTGTACAATAACCTGCATGTCCAAAGGAAATAAAACAGGAACAAATGATTAGATCAAGAGTCTAAGTGAACAAATAGGGTGAAATAAGGTGCAATCTCCATTAAAACATTAAAGTGAACTACCTTTGAAATAAAATGCAAACCTGTTTGTTTTTTAGAAACAATTCAGATACTCAAACTTAGGTGAAAAACAGAGAAGTCTTAAACACTAATAGAAAACTCTGATAATGTACATAGATAGAAATCTAATGTAAAATAATCATACAGATAATTATTTCAATGAACCAAAAGATGTCAATTTTTTCTTTGTCAAGTAAAAATGACTAACAATCTCAGTTGTTTTATTATTTCTGTATTATGTGTCATTTATTTCACTTTTTCTCCACTCACTACGCAAGTTACAACCAATTCTACACTGCAATGCAATACAAGAGACAAAAGAAATAATCTTTATCATTTCAATAAAAAAATGTATTCAACATTAGGTGAGGTTGTTGAACATAATCTTTCTTGAGATCAACTGTTGGTCTCTTCATTTGATGAACATTTCATATCAGATGAATTTTTGCTTGGTATGCTATATTTTGCAACATTTGCAACTTTTGTAAATACCTAAAGCATAAATGACTGGCTACTTTTGTTCTGTCATGTTTTGAGATTTTTAATCTGCTCCATTGTTTTTTTGTCGTTTTTTATTTAGACATCTTAGATACCTAAAAATTAAGGCAATGAGTTTTGACTAATTTAAATTTTTTTTCAAAATGTACTTGTTAAAATAAGATTTTTTTACACAATATACATTAATGACTTTGGTAAAGAGTCATTTCGGCAATGTTTGATACAGAGGTGAGCAAAGGGAGGTATTGCATGTCATATTATGGTTTATGTGACTAACTTCCCATTCCTTTTTGTTCTTGCATTTACACTTGTAGAAACTGTTCTTAGCAGCTTCCGTTTATTTTCCATTTGCATCTGATAAGATTGTTGGTGTATCGTTCTCTACTCGGTGCAAGAGATGACAAACTGCATGACTTTGAGTGAGAGAAATGTCTTTGACTTTACTCCAGTTATTTTGGTCGAGACACTGAACTAAAACACTGATAAAGAACATAGACAATGATGTGGAAAGCTGAAGAGGGTTGAAATAGAGTGAGAAATTATACAATTATTACGTACACAAATATTCTTCAAACAAACAGACAGTTTCTGCTGTAGTGTAGCTTCACAGTGGAAAAAGGTTGCAGACCTCTAACCGGGAGCATTGGAGACTTTTTTCTTTTGCCATTTTCCCCACTAAGTTTGGTGGCTAAATAAATCAGTCAGCTTTGTTTGACACATTTCTAGAGCTTTAAGTCGGTAGGTATTTTATATTTAGCTTATTTTGTGCAGATTTCTAAATAATGAAGCCATAAGCTTGGTGCTCCATATTTCCCCTTTGGTCCACTTGATGATGAAATGACAAAAAACCAGACTGGATCCTCTTGATAAAGTTAAACAAAACAAATGTTACTTATCCACAAAAAGAATAAAGATTAAGCAAAAGAGGTCAAAAACTGTGTGACTCCAGTCCAACTGCCCATCCAAGCACAACTTAAACTCTTTAACTGCAGTTAGATCACTAATTTAAAAGATTTAAAAGTTTGAGTCTCTCGCTGGTTTAATGCACCTGGACCCAGTGAAGGGCCGTTAGAGGCCTAAGAAGAACATTGATATGCTGAGGAGGAGAGAACTAGAACATGCAGGATGCCAACGTTGCAGGATCCACTTTGGGCACCATTGGATTAGGCTATGCTAATGCAATGTGCTGTGCATTACAAGAAAACAACAAAAAAAAGTCAAAAAGGGCTCTGGGGCCATCAAGGATAAAAGGGATAGGGGCTCAAGCCCCATCCCCTGCATCTGCCTGGGCCTTACATGATCTAATATAAAGTTTGTATGCATGAGAGTTTTAGTTGGTAATAATTGTTATCCTAATAAATTATCATAAGGAATATAAACTTAATTTATCCGAAAAGTCTGAATGAACTAAACCTGAATTTAGGCTTCTATATTTTATGTTTTCCAGCATAAAGAGAAAGAGAGAATAGAAAATCATTCATAACAAATTAAAAGTTTATAAACACTAACCCTAGAAAAGCTAAAAAAATGCTTCAGTGACATTTATTTTAAAGGAGTTTATGTACATAAATTAAAGGTATTTTTGTGGGAGAAAACTGCTTCAATCAAATGATTTATTTTAAGACGTGCATATATTTTCAAAGTAAAGTGAAGCCATCTGTAAAGTCAAATATTTATTAAAAGGATAGTAAGGGGAGCTTTGATTAGTGGAACATAAAAATATCTTGGAGTTAAATAATTAAGCTACCTTCTGACATGTCTTTATCTTGTTATATAATTTCAACCTAATATGAAGTCACTGAAAAAATGTAACTAATAAAATGCTTAAATGTTTGAGTTTATGAATTTCTCCATAAATTCATAAACTTTATGGTTTATGAATTTCGTTTTCAGACCTCCAGGTCTCCAGCTCGTGATGCCAGGATCCGGGGACCCAAAGTAATCCTTGCAAAACCAGGAAGTTTCCACCGCCCACCCCGGTCCGCTGGGCTCGTGATCGGAGGACACCGTTACTGGCAGGGGCAGTTGGTGCCGCCTGAAATGGGCCAGCCGCAGGTGGAGCCCCGCTCTGGGAGGCCGCCGCAGAAACACAGCCCCGGACACAGGAAGACATCGCCTCAGCCAACAGCCGACCAAATGGGGTTGTTTGGAGTGTCTCTGTCAAAACTCAGCTCCTTTAGAAATTTGAAAGGGCGAGCAGGAACCTCTCAGAAAAAAGCCTCTCAGACTAATAAAGCTGCCAGGTAGAGCAGCGGCTCAGAACAGACCAGAGTTTGCTGAAAAAACTTCCAGGTTAGAAACTGGAAACTTCAGCCTGGACTCGTCTCTGTCATCTCCATTTTAAGACCTACAATGTAACAGCAATATACAAATCAACTAATCGCACCATAAATTCAAATGAGCTCAATAATGAAATGAGGGCAGTACTATTCCTTGTTGGTTTTCTTCATCTCTCTCTTTCTACCAAAGAGTCTGGATGACAGAAAGCTCAATTCTGCTGCCTTGAGTTACTCCTTGGTAACAGCTCAACACACAGGGAGCTAAAAGCTCAGGCTGAACCCAACACAAGGGACAGATAGCGAAAATGACAAATGTTCAACAATTTTCAACTTTCTTGTGTAGCGCCTCTAGCCTGCGTGTGCAAGCTAGAAATTTCACATTGTGCTGTTTGCTCATCGGGATAAGTGCAAGCGTCTGTCGCCTCACTGCCCATAGACAAAAATGGCAAGGTTGCAGCGCTGTCTCCAGTCGTCACTGTGTGACCGTTACCTCAGTTACCTGCCAGGCTCCTGGTGTCCTACCACAGAGTGAAGCAGAAAGCCCAGTGAGGAGGAGCAAGCTGGGGAAACGCCGGTTTAGCCGAACGTGACAGCTGCAGTCTGGCAGCGCTTTGGATTCAAGCTGAATGGCTGTGGTGAACCATTGAATCTGCCGTCAACTCAATGTGAACAGTGACTAATGCAAACCCCTCCAACACCCCTCACAATTTTTTATATTTGAAAGGTCTTACAGTTCCAGTGTTAAAGCGTCTTTTGAAATTACTTTATTGACCTCTTAGAGGGTGAATGTTCATAGTTAGACAATTTTTTGTGCTATAAACAATAGTCTCAAAATGACAGATTATCACAATAATTTCCGAAACAATTAATCACCCAGCAAAATGTGTTATTTGTGACAGGCCTGCTTACAAGAACTATTTATGGTAAGAAGAACCTTGGGTAGTGACAAATCGGTTCATATTTCTGTCTACAGAAATGCAAATGTACCACGGATCATTTGTTTTGACCGAAAGACTGAAATGTTTTCTCCATGTGGTACTTCATCCAGTGAGCTCCAGCATTCTCTCTGCCTATCCAGGTACTTCAGTTCCCCCATAGCATGTTGAGCCTGGACTTATCTCAGTTGCTTTTCTTTTTTCTTATAAGTTTGTTCATATCCCTCATGAACAGATGAAATGTGTCTGAGTTATGAGAGATTGTGTGTACTTCTGGAAACAAATCAGCTTTTAGCACTGACAGCACTGTGAGTGGTTCCACAAGGCTATGTTGATTACTTTTACATATTTGACAAAGGTTGTTGATAACCTGTGTAAATGTAGATGTAATGTCAAGTACTGTTACAGGACCAAAAATCAAATAAAAGGAGAGACTGTTGCTTAGCAAGCTGTTGACTAAATCAGCCAGAATCCAACTTATGAAGAAAGTTTCAATGTTTCAATATGGGTTAAAGTGTTAGAGATGCTATTTTATGCTTGAATAGCATCACTGATTGGCCAGCTGCACAAACCTGCACATAATTGTCTTTTCCATCATCCCATCAGATTGTTGTTGTTTTTTTTTTGCTGAAAAAATGTAAGTACCAGCAATAATATTGAAGTATGTGAAGTATGTAACATGACAAAGTGTTAAGGTATGCGAGCACCCATGGATTATGGAGATTTACACGTTCATATCTGCACTTGTTGACAAAACAGCTGTGTATTTTTCAGAGGTAACAGTTACTGAACACAGAATAAGAATATTCCCACTAAAACAGAAGAGTGAGCTACTTCAGTCTGTTTTGCCTAGACTGGAAGACTTTTTTCAAATTTCTCAACTTGATGACCTCTAAGGTTCCACCAAAAGTCCCTGAGGAAGACATTTTCTCAGAGATTTTGAATTTCTTTAAAATAGTTCAGCCTGGCTCACCTTATGTTTAGCTTGTCAAGTGGATCAACCAAGTTAATTAAAATCCAAATTTACCATCAAGAAAGAGAGCCTCTTAGTTGTACAATAAATGAAACTTAAAGTCTTTCTACATGGCCTGAATCAAGCAGTCAAATCTTTGGAACGTTCAAAAAAATGAATCTCAAACCATGTGGTTGGTCTCTTGGTTAAAATTTCCTTAATCACATATTTCACTGTTACAGATAACAATATTTCATAAATGAAAATCTAATTTCAGCTGTGTATGTACTTGGCATGTACCTGGTCGGTGCACCAGTACCAGGTGGCCAGTATGGTGAGCCCTAGTGTCATGCCTGGCCACGGCAGGTCTCCAGTGACGGCGTCTCTGAACAGGTGCATGGCGTCGGCCCGTGGCAGATGGCAGGTACTGTTGGGGATAATCTTACTTGGCACCGCGATGCTGTAAACTTGCTCCAGATTGTTGTAGCCACCTATCTTGTTAAAAGCTACATGTGCATGCACAAACACACACACACACACATTTTAAACATTGAAACTCAATACTTAGGTATTCTTGTAAGATGTTGAAGTGGTCCTGAAACATTTATTTCTAATTTTTTTCTTCATTTTGAGTGCAGTCCTTTTATCTGACCATAACATGTTGTTCAAGGTGAGACCTAAGACATTCATTTCCAACCAGTAACCCTTCATGAATCACCATGTGATCCTAATGCTATGTTCCAACTATCAGGCTGTGACATTGTTAACATTTTTTTATACAATCAATCAATCAAATTTTATTTGTATAGCACATTTCAGCAACAAGGCATTTCAAAGTGCTTTACACAAAGTCATGCAACATATAATAGACAATACATTGTTACATATTACATTTCAAAAACAATTCTAAACAGGTGTGTTTTTAGTTGAGATTTAAAGGAAGTCAGAGTTTCTGCTGTTTTACAGTTTTCTTGAAGTTTGTTCCAAATTTTTGGTGCATAGATGCTGAAAGCTGCTTCTCCTCTCTTGGTTCTGGTTCTGGGGATGCAGAGCAGAACCAGAACCAGAACCTGAGAGGTCTGGAAGGTTGATACAACAACAGCAGATCTTTGATGTATTGTGGTGCTAAACCGTTCAGTGATTTATAAACTAACAACAGTATTTTAAAATCTATTCTTTGAGCTACAGGGAGCCAGTGGAGGGACTTTAAAACTGCTGTTATGTCTCTATCTTCCTGGTTTTAGTGAGAACAGGAGCAGCAGCTTCTGGATCAGCTGCAACTGGAGGATTGATACAGAACTAGATGAGGGGCTCTGCAGTACTCTACCACTTCAGGAAGCTCTAAGTCTCACCGTGTCTCACTGGTGGGCCATAAGAAGTCACTGGTAGCAGTGAAACCTACCATGGACCTCACTGGTCCTTTGAAAATGTACTGGACTGGAAATGAGTGAAAACACAAACAGACTAAAGAAAAATGTTGAAACATCCTTGTAGTGTCTCAAAAACATGTTCATTAAGCTCAGTTCAACACACCACAGGATCACCATTCTACCTGAATGCAAAGCCTGGATAAAATGACATTTAGACGTATATGTTTATGTATTTTACAGATGGAATTTGCTTTGAAATGATAGAATTTGTACGTACCAGTAATTGTTAGAATGATTGCACCGATGATCATAATAAATGTCTGTAAAGTGTCTGTGTAGATGACAGCAGCCAGTCCACCTGGTTAAAGGGAAGGGAGGAACATTTTCACCAGTCATTTGTTTTCAGATGTCTTCCAAACGACTTTGTAGTAACTATTAGTCAAAAACATCTCTGTTCACAACAAATGAATATAATAATTATTAATTATATCATCAGAGGCAGAAAAAAACAACACTTGTGTATGTCATATTTTGGATCTAAAACCTAAAGAGCAAAAGTCAAAATGCAATAGATGCGGTTTTCTGATCTTGTCTACCTGCTATGGTGTAGAGAGCAGTGACCACCAGCATGAGGACAGTGGACAGGTAGAGGTTCCATCCCAGGCACACCTGGACAAACAGGGCTCCAGAGTACAAGTCAGTCTGGCAGAGTAAACAAACCACATTTGTAATGCAGGCAGTAAAAGTTCATTTTGAATTTTTTGTTGTTTATTTTTAGCTGTAGTGCACTTTTCCTCTCATCACTGCTGTACCGATATCTTGGTGAAGACAGACAGCAAGAGTGAGAGGACAGCGAGATACGTTCGGATCCGTTCCCCTCCAAAGCGACGCCCCAGATACTCTGGCATTGTCACAATCTGAAAACAAGCATTTTCACATTTTTAAAGGTCCCACAATCAGTGACGGTTTCTGATATGGCCGCCACCCTGGGTGGCATCTTGTATGGGTGGCAAGAGCGCCTCCCAATAGTTGACCACAACTATTTCAAAACTGCTTACATTGTACTGAAATTAACAGTTGATAATGCTCAATTTCACAGAATATTAAGTCACAATTTCAATGTCTTTTAAAGAAATTTGGTTGATTGAACAGCACCAAGGAGTGTTTACTTGTGAAAATGGAAGAAAAGGGATTTGAAAAAATACTTTGTAAAAATCTAAATAGTACACTTTGCATTGTTGCCATCATCCCTAAACTCTGATACCACAGTGCAATTGTGACCTATTTAGCTAACAGACTCCACACGTGGGTCAGTTCATCTCTGAATAAATTACAACAAAAAAAAATCAAGAATAAAAATGAAGGAATCTGCAGAAATGAAGTGGTAGTTAAGTTTTAAAGCAGTGTCAGGTTACTAATATCCCAAACCCTGAATGTCTCATTGATCAAATAAAATATGCATGGCAGTGGAAACCTAACAAGACAAGCCATCTACCAAAACGGACAGAAGAAAATCTGTTAGAGACAACAAAAGTCTCAAGACAAAATGCAGGGGTTCTCCTCCCAGTAGGACAATGTCCCTAAAGTCCTAGTCAAACCAAATGAGAATCTGTGGTGAGACTCTTATTCACAGATTAAATGTGTAAATTTGAGAGAGACAAACACACATTTGTTGTGTGTAAAAAGGGGTCAACAATTTCACGTGGTATTTAACCACATGAGAACTTGTAATTGTAGCATGAGAAATTTTGAAGAAACAGATAATGGTACATGAACACTTCAGTTATTAAATATCAGTGCTATGATGGCTGACAGCACACAGGCTTCATGAGTTCACATTACTTCAACTCTGAATGTACAACATTGAGGTATAGAGTAACCTTTGACATTTGTTTTGAAATAGTAGTTGTGAGTGAAACACCCTGTTAAAGAATTTATAAGGCGGGGAAAAAATGTTTTGGCACCTAAATGTAGCTGCAGAACTAGCCTTGACAAGAAAACACACACCTGTGTGTGCGTGCGTGCGTATGTGTGTGCGTGTGTGTGTGTGCGTGCGTGCGTGCGTGCATGCGTGCGTGTGTGTGTGTGTGTGTGTAAACTAACCCCAGAGGAGATGTAGACAGGTACAAATATCCAAGCAAGTGCCAGCAGCACATAAGTTGCCTGAAATTGGGCAAACAAAAGAAATGATGTTGAGCAGACTGTAAAGAACCACATGATGAAAATGTGCTATGAACACTTTCGAGGAAGACAACAATCTCCTGTGTGCAAGGCTGGACTGGATGGACTGGACTGGACTGAGGCATCCAGCTCAGCCCAGGTGTCCTGCCAGTTTTAGACATGTCTCTGTTTTAACCGCTTCTCAAATGGAGCAACTGACTCCTCAGCATGCCATGAAGTTCTGCTGATGAACCATCATTAGGTCCAGGTCTGTGGAACATGCAGCATACCGGCCCTTGAGGCCTGACTTTGGACACCGCTGGGTTAAAGGGTTGCAATGCTGCCACCTGCTGATGCTGCATGTTACACCAAACCTGAAGGTGATTTCATATTTCAAGTTTTTGGAGGGAATGGATAGAAAAGCTGCAAATCCAGATCTTTTGTTTGCAAAAACAAAGAGATTTTTTTTGGTGTGTACTCTGCGTTTATCTTTTCTCAAAACCATTAAATAACAAAAGAAACAACATGCAGAGATATCAGCAGGCCGGATGTGTTTCGTTCCAGCTTGTAACCATGTCTGGTCCCCAGACCAAGACGGATGGATCCTGTGCTCCTTACTCACGTTCCATTCAAACCCGGCGACAGCAATTCCGCCAGCGGCCCCAGTCCCAGCCAGGCCGATGAACAGACCCGAACCCTCTGAGCTGGCGAAAAGAGACGAGCCAATCTGTGCACCAAGCAAATATGCTTTAAAAGTAATGTTATTAAAGTTTATTTGTTACACAAACAACGGATTTTCTAAGTTCCTTTTTTACTAAGCTTAAATAAAAAAGTTATTTGAGCTGCTTTTATTTAAGTAAAAGCAGCTTAAATAACGTAGACTTAGCGGTATTCTGATTTAGTAATGTCATTAGATTAGTTGTGTTACCACCTCCACACCACTAGAGGCAGTAGCAGGCCTGAAAAGATGCGACTGAGGAGCAGATTTAGAAATACTGAAAGGATTTGTTAGAAACTGTGAGCTGCGCTGAAGTAAATAAAAGAGAGAAGTTCAAATACATGCTGAGAGTGAGAATCCTTCCAAAAGGTGAAGATATATCACAGATTCAAAAATAAAAACTATAACCGGGAGGCCGTGGATAACATAGGGAATAGCGCCCTCTTCACTTCCGGAAGGCAACAGTTTCACAGGAGAGCAGGAGGACACTAATGATGTCTCCTGTCTCCTATGTACTTAATAAGTAAGTTAATACTTCTGTGGTAGGATTATAATAAGCCCTTTGAGGTTTGCCCGACTCACCAGTACATTTAATTGATTTCCTAGTGGATCTGTTGGGAGTTGGACTTTTTTTTTACTTAAATAAATAACTAATTAACTAGACAATTTGATGTTCTTTGCCCAAACAGGTTTGGAGTAGGATGCTTTTTAACCTGAGTTGAATGAGTTGAACTTTACATTTACAGCATAGAAGTAAAAATTGTAGTGGTTTTGAGAGTAAAGACAGTTTGACTCTCCCCATTCAAATGTATTCTTTTATCATTTCATCATGTAACTTCATTTGATGTCACTGCTTGATAAATCTAGTATGCAGACAGGACAGTTTATGACTAGACACAGCGATGGGGTGTTTATAAGATTTAATAATCTGAAACAAACTTCCAGAAATCAGAAAAAAATGCTGAAAAATATTTCTTTTAAATGAACACTAAAAACTAATTTGATTAGAGTTGCATTCAATTCAGAATTGAATGCAACTCAATGGAACATCCTTGATTTATATTCTATATTCCAAATTTCCGTTACTTCTTTATTTTAACACTGCATTGTAATATTTGTCTGAAGTTTTCTATTTCCATTGAATTGCTTAAATACACTGTACAAATAAACTTGCGTAGCCTTGGTTAAATTTGGTTTTTGGCTGAATTTGGCCATCCAATCACAACCTTAAGTTCAAACTTAGCGTGCCAATTTAAAATCTGCTGTTGTATGACCCTAAAAAGATCCTTGATGCTGACAAACCTTCTATTGTGGATGAATTAAAACTGTTAACTGTGTTTAAAAAAACAAACAAACAAAAAATCTGTTAACTGTTCAGTAGTTGCTCAGTTATGTTCCAAAATAACACCAATGGACACATATGTGACAGCATGCTGATATAAAAGTTAATCAGTTTTTCCAAAGTAAAAAGAGGAATAATCTTTGTTACAACAATAATCAAAACAGATCTCAGAGACAAACTCACCGGCCACCAGGCCATGTCCCTTCCAGCCAGAAAATATCCACTCAGAGTATTTCTGCTCACCCTGCATGATGACTGACAGAAACAACAATTTTTGTGGACAGTGTATGATATTAACAAAACATAGGAGCATAATCAACTAAGAATGACCCTTACCCAAATACCGACAGCGAGGTTCAGGAAAAAATATGTTGCGATGACAATAATATCGGAGATGCTGAAGGACTGGGATCCGGCGTAGAAGTTGATGGTGAAATTAGGCATCCTCAGCAGTCTCAACAAATCTCAAATATGACAGAAATGTTTTCTTTTGGCCTCTTAGTGCACCTCCTGGGTTCAAGCTTTACACATGCAGAATTAATATTAAAGAAGTTACAAGTAAACTTTGAACCTTTAAACTCTCTCTTCATCAGGTGAATATCTCCCTCTTGGCTGAGCTACAAGCTGACCTTTGCATAAATGCAACCCTGACACAGGCTGATAGCTGTACAGCTGGAGAGGGCAGTTCCTGAGCTGAATTGATGATTAAACACATCACCCTAATGTAGCAACTGCAGGGTTGACACACACACTCTGCCAGGGGATAATGGAGTGTACTGTATGCTGAGCACTAGAGTACAGCAGATGCTCATGCGGGCCAGAGTCCGTCCTGACACACACACATACACACCTACATCCCCGCAGGCACACGCACCGACACCCCCCACCCACACACACATGTGGTAAATCATTGCTGGTGACAAGTATAATGTCATTAGTGTCTAAACACACAAACATCTTCTGCTAAGGTGTTAAAAGGGTCAGTGAAAGTGTGCAACAACAGACTAAGAGCTGTTTGGAGTTTCACTTAAATTATGTATCTACATTTTAACACAGAAATTGTTGTGATGTATTGAAATCAATGTGTTTTTGTTCAAATGAAAGATGTAGGTCACCACTAGTGTCTAGTCTTAGTGATTTGGGGTCTTTGAAAAGCACCTGAACAAGTTATGATTTCAAGACATGACATTTCAATATTACTATAATACAGAATAGTCACACATGCAGACTATAATGTTTTCAGCAGTTTCCCCCAGAAAGTTTTCAGAAGGGTGGCCAGATGAGCAACTGATGATTTTGCCATGCAATATGAAAAACCAAAAACTGTAAAAGAATTCAGATTTTCTCATGTATTATGGTATTATGATTTTTCCACATACATCATCATTGTTTAAAATGCCCAAAATGTATTTTTATAAAGTAGATGTGGTCAAATCTAAACAATAGGTCAACTGGTTTCACACTTTAAATGGTTCTGATCTATAACTCAGAATTCGTAATGCACCTGCACATTTTTAAGTGGTATGTTAAAAGAAGAGGACAAGACGTCAGTAGTAAAAGTGTTCAATAAGTTTGCTTTCATGCTTCCAAGATTTAAAATTAACACAAACCCTGGCTGGTGTTTTCCTGCTATAAGAAGCAGATGGCAGTGGTAGAAACACCCTGACGTCACACACATCATCATTAATCTCTCTCTTCCTCCCACACAAGACAAAGTGTAAAAGCTGTACAAGAACCAAGAACTGTATAAGCATATTACTTATGAAAAGTTTATTTGTGTGGAGATTTTAGATTACGTTTGACTGACATGGAAAATTAATTTTGAGATTTTAAACGGTGGTTTTCATGTCTTTAATCAAGTAAAGCAGTTAAAATGCTTCTAGTGTCAGTTTTCTGAGACCACAAAATAATAAACTTATAGCCTTAGGAACACATAGGAGACAAACAAAAATATTAAGTTAAAAAAAATGTTTTGTCTTGTAAAATTTAGTTTTTGTTTCTTTTTAAAAATATATTCAAATTTGTTAAAAAAAGTTTAGGAGAAGAGATGAGCAATTGTGATTCATTTTAAACTAAAAACTTTTGAAATTTGAAAAGATTTGCTATCTGATGGTCATTGTTGCTCTTCTTTGTTTCTTTTCTGTGGTAGAGGTACCAAAGAGACCTGATAGAGACATAGCCAAAATATTGTGTTTTATCCCAACTGCTTCATTTATCCTGAGCCATCGCTCACTTTACCCAAAAGCTGTCCGACAGCGCCTCAAGCTGGGCGTTTTACGAAAAACGGCTTCAACAATTTGGATTCAAGAGCAATTTTTGCATTTATTATTATGTAGACAGAAAAACCTCACTGAGAGCTGACTTTCAAAAGCAACCAGTTTTAAACATTCATAACAACATGTTGAAACATACTACACTCAGTACAATTAGTAGAATCATAAAATTGAAAAATTACCACTGACGATAAAATAGGACACTAGTTACTAAACCTATTTAAATAAAAGCGAAAATGTCAAGGAAACTGCTTTTAAAATATTTGTTGACAGAAAACAGAGGAAGCAGATTTCTGGAGGAGATTCAGCAGATGTTGCTGATTATGGTTGAGACCTTTTCCTGTTGTGGGCAACGGGGCCCGGCAAATACCCGTGTTTGAACGGACGGCGGAGTCCGGCGGTAACAGGCGCTTAAATTCCGTGACAAAAAGAAAAGGAAAAAAAAAAATTTCAAAAACACAAAAAAACACTTGGTATTTTATTATATGATGCATGACTGTGTTTTGTGTTTATGATGTAAAGCACTTTGAAATGCCTTGTAGCTGAAATGTGTTATACAAATAAAATTTGATTGATTGATTGATTAGAGAAGATTCTTTTGAAAGTAAAAGCGCTTCCACATTATCTGGCAAGTACTAAATTGAATTTAAAGGTGACTTTGGCATAATCTGGATTGTGAGTGGATCAAGATGACTAGTTGTAGTGGGGGGCTTTTGGAAGATGAAAATATGGCCATAAGATGGACTATGGTAGAAAATAGAAGGGGAGGGGAAAAGATAAAGTTAAAAAGGAATTAAATGCTGGTGAAAGATTTCTTGAGGGTGAGGAAGAAAGAGTTGAAATAAGAAAGAAAATAATGATGGAAGATTTCAAAGTTATATTAAAATTTAAGGCTGAACAGGATATGATTGGGGTAAGTTCTATCAGTTTCTCAAATGGATTAAAAAGTTATTGGAGATATAGAACTAGCTAAAGTCTTAAGGGATGGAAGCCTTCTTATTATTTGTAAGAATGCTGAGCAAAAGAATAAGAAGAAGTGCTGGAAAGAAAAATTAATAACATAAAAATAAATCAGGAATTCAAATTTGGATAAAATAATGATTGGTTACATGAGCTTTAATGTAAGAGCCTATATTCCACCACCTCTCATATTATAAGTGTCAAAGATATGGACATACTGCAAAGGTTTGCAAAGGGACACAGAGAAGTTGTAGATGTGGAGGTGATAATAATTCTGTTAAATGTTGTAACTGTGGAGGAAATCATACTGCAGCATATGCAGGATGCATGGTAAGAAAAGAAGCAGCTGAAATTCAAATAGTTAAACTGAAGCAGTGAAAGAGGTAAAAAAATAATGATCCAAAAACAAATTATGAAAGGAAAAGAGTGGCAGACAATAATTAATATAATATTACATTAGAAAAATGTATTCTTTGTCTTGCCTTTATCATAAATTGTTCAGAACAAGCAAGAACTAAAACTGAAAAAATAAAAATAGTAAAGGCAGCTACAAAGATTTTTAATATCAAAAATGTATCATGGGAAAGAATTCATGATGAACTCAGACATGGAGAAGGAACATCTGAAGCTGAGGCTTTTCAAATCATCACATAATTCTAATATTACAAAGGAACGCTTGCAGCCTAATAGCAAATGGTCAGGAATTTAAAGGCTTCATTAATAATCTGAATGCAAAACCAGATATAATATGCATTCAAGAAACATGATTCATTCTGTCATTGCAGTTTAGTGTTCATGGTTACATACATCCTATCTTACATAAAGATAGGATAAAGGTTATAGGATGTGCCATATTTTTAAAGGAAAACATAACATTTATTGTTTTCCAAATAATATCAGACTTTGAATTTATTGCTGTAGAAATTTGGACAAATGATGGGAATATCACAATAATAAATTATTACAATCCTTGTAACGGTCTCGCTATGGTGTCCTGAACCAAGCTGACCGTCAACCAAACTCCTTTTACGCGAGTCAGGATTAAACGGCTCTTCCTTTATTAACGTAGAATGGAGTGAAACTGCCAAAACAGGAACAACATAAATTCAATAAATAACTTACTTTGTTTCCCACACATTAACATAAACGCTCATTTTTAAGTATACCTACAGGCATTGCGTCGAAGAACTCGATCTGAACACGACATTCACAATGTATCCGTCCGAACATCTGCTCTGCCGTTAACAAACAACCTAAATAAACTTTGGTTTATTTAGTCAGACTTTAAACTTGAAACTTTAAACTTTCAGGGAAAAACATTTTCCTGAAAGTCCAGAAGGTGGCAGCAATGTGCCATGCAAAGTAAACACTCACAGGTTACAGGACAATCCTTGCAAACAACTAGAAAACTGTGAAGTGCACAATTCAGAGACTGAGGTCCAGACAAAAGTCAGGGAGCAAAAACAATCTTTAATACATCTGCAGACAGAGAGCAAAAATCCACTGCATTAGGCGAAAATCATTCTGCTCAAACGAACTCAGAGTTGCATAGTTGCTTTATTCACCTCTCTGCTAACAGAGACTCAATCTGCTAAGACCAAACAAAAGAAACAAAGGAAAACATACGGAACAATTTAACCTTACACACTCATTCACTATCATGTCTACGGGATGCGAAAACTAAACACTCCATCTCCATGCAGGGAAGACCTGCATGGAGAAAAACAGCAAGTTCCCAGATAACCCGTCTGCGAAACAGACACATCTTGTTCAATTAGTTTGTACACCCTCTGCAGCTGCATGAAAAAACATCTTGACTATGCTACTGTATGATGCAAATAGATTTTCTCTTTAAAGAAAAATCTACTTCACAAAACTTAAAGCTTGAATCAACCCTACAACGCTGAAGAAGGAAAATAGTTTGGTATGGGAACTTCAATACACTTTATGGGGAGATCAAGATGATTATTATAAGTGGAGGAACTTTAGAAGAGATGATTGAAGAAAAAGAATTGGTAATATTAAACTGCACTCGGGTGGAGTTGGTAAGATATTGATCTGACATTGGTTTCTCAATGTATTGCTGATGTTATGTAAAGACAGCACAATGGAAGTGATCATTGCCCAATTTTTGTCAGCATAGGAATAAATAGAGAAAGGCCAGGAGGAAATTTGAGAAAGCTGGGATCATTTTAAAATGGTGAGTGAGGAAAGTGAGGTAAACATGAAAAATATAGATACAAGTAAACCAACAATAAATGAATTAAACTGGGAAAAAGTAAAAAATGTTTTATTGATACAGCCAAAAGTTTAATTCCTAGAAGTAGTGGCATTAAAAAAAGAAGATAGTTTGTTGGTGGACACCAGAATATTCAATAGCAATTAAACAGCAGAATAAGGTTTTTAAAACATTTAAGAAAACAATTTGTTTCCATAACCTAATAAATTATAAAAGAACACAGGAAGAAGTTAGGAAAACTATGAGAAATATTAAAATGTATTATTGGAGGAAATATTGTAAATCTTTGGGGAAAAATACTGCATTAGACAGGTTTTAGAATACTGTAAAAAAATGTCTGGAAATCCAAAAGAATATTTTTCCCAATAATAAAAGATCATAGAAATATTATAAAAGATAATAAATCCACTCATATGTCCCATATAAAGTGCTCCCATATATCCTCATGTTAAATCCATGTTAAATCCAGCCAAATGGGTGGATTTAACTGAAATATAATTAAATAAGGTACTTGTTAAATATCAGTTTTCCCTGAGTTGATATATTGCATAAAATCCCGTTGAAGCGAGTTGGGGTCCAGCCTGGAGTTCAGGGCCGTGCAGAGACCTTTGGAGGGGTAGGGGCTCAAAGTTAAAAAAGGGCACATTGAACAAGATCTTAAAACACCATAGAGCAATACAGCAACAACCTGTATTAATCCAGAATGAATTGGATCCTACTATATCATTGCCATCATGCGAGGAAATGCAAAGCAAATGTATATTTTCCCCAACAGGTAGAAAGTTGCTGTTTCTGCCGCTGACTGTCCTGGAGGGCTGAGTTGATCTGAGACTGTAGGTGTTAAACAGACCAGAGGAGAGAAGGTCAAAGGTTATGAAGTTATGAAATAAGCTAAATTGCTGCCATTTTACTAATTAAGCCCTAATAATATTTATTTAACCGCTAGAACAAATTGGCTGCAGACTGATGAATAGATCAAAGGAGTTAACTCTATAATTTTTGATGTTAGCACCTCTGAGATCTAGAATTATAAGACTGAGATATCAAGGCAAGGAAAACTCAATAGCTGCTAGGAGGGGCCATTCAGGGGCCCCTAGAAATGTTTGAATTGTAACACAGACCATGGATATAAACCTGTAGCATCATTCATAGAGAATGACAATATTATTACATTTTATTTATTGCATTCAGCTGGGGAAAAAAAGTACAATTAGGATTTAATTAAGAAGTTTACTTTGTAAAAGATTAAAGAATCATCTTGATAGTTTGATTGTTGTGTTACCATGGCTACAACATTGTGTAATCTTTGTATTTGAATTGGGTTTGTTCAAAAATACATCATAGCAAACAACCAATAATCAGTGATTGATTTTAAACTCACCCAATAAACCCGGTGTCCCTCTCACAGACTCACCTTATCGATATTTAAACATGTTAGTGATGCTGA